ATCCACGCTCCTGCTTCCTCCCCTCCAGCCCCACCCTGTCCTTATCGCTCCCTCCTCATCCTGCTCCCTGGCTGCCGGCCCGCTGCCTTATAAGGTGCGATCTGCGCCCGGCTTGCATCTCCAGGTGACTCCCCTCTCCGAAGGGAGGCTTTCCCAACCCATCCTGGCTACGTGGCCATCATCCCTGGCACTGGGGGCGGCAGGTGAGGTAGGCCAGGTGGCGATCCCGCTGCCAGTCCAACCAGTTGGGTGTGAAGGGCGGAGGAGGAGCGGCTCCCTGCCTGTCCCAGCCCGCGGCGCCACTCCTGGGTGTTCACCCGCCGGGCTCCTGCCGTGACCGGCACCCGGGGCACGGCTCCCCCCGGGGAAGGTGGGGCTGGGCCGGAGCAGGCAGGCACTCAAGGCAGTGTCCAACCTGCTGCCGGAGCAGCCCTTTCCTGGCCACCTGCCAGCCTGCCCAAAGTCCACTGTGCTCTGTGACCTGCCAGCAGGAAGAGCCCTCCTGGGGGCCAGGGAGGCAGCTGAAGCCCAGGGCAGGAGGTGGGAAAACCTCTCCCCTGATGTAAGATCTGGCAGGGCCAGGGTAGGCTGGGGAGTGGGAGCAAGGTGCCTCACCTGGCAGCAAAGATGTATCAGCCTAGGCAGGGGTCCCTCAAGGGAGGGCTGCTCTGAGGTGATGGCTGTGGGCACCTTCCTGCCTCTGGGGTTGGGAGAGAAACAGCCAAAACTCTCTTTCACCTGCACAGGGATATGGGATCTGCTGCCCACCATCAGCTGTACTGCTTCCCCCCATGGCCTGAGGGCCATGGGTGCTCTGAGCTTAGACACAGGAGCAGGTGAGCCTGGGCCTATAGTCTCCCCTGCCATGGCCTGCTGCTTCAGCCATGCTGAGGTCTAAGAGTTGATGTGTGTGCCTGGACCCTGTGCTTGGCGTGGGGAAAGATGCCAAGGATGCCGACTCATTTATTTTTTAGGTAATTGAGACTGACCAGAAGCCTGTGGTGAATTAGCAGGGCTGTGAGCCTGTGCAGAGCAAGTGCATTGCAAGCGCTCGGACAATTGCAGGCTTGAATTATTGATGGTGTTTCTGTTTTTCCTAAGTGCATCATGATAGGCAGCTGGGACCAGGAGAATTTGTTGCTTCCTTTCTCTCTCAGGGATGGGGTCTGATGCTGAGAGCTTTCAGAGAGCGAGCAGCCAGTTGGCTCTCCTCAGGCCCTGGGGCTGAGACAGAAAGGGCAGTTATTGGAGTGGAGCTGGGGACTGTGTTGCAAAATTCCTCAGGAAGCGCATCCCTCTTTGTCAGCCTGGCAGGTGGGTCTGGCCCAGGAGTCCCACAGGGGCTCAGCCAGCCTGGATGAGAGGCTGGGTCCGTCCTGGCTCTGATGGAGCTGGAGAAGGGCTTTCCTTGTGCTTCACAGTGTGGGGGGCTGCCCAGGGTGTCTGGCCATGGTGACAAATCTTGCCATGTGCTGGACAGGTGTCTGGGGGTCCCAAACAAGCAGTGAAGCTGTGTGAAGGTCTGGGACGTGGCAGACAGAGCTGATGCAGTTCTGTTCGCCCTCCCTGGTGACAGCAGGACTATGGCAGTGAGAACCTGGTGTGTCCCTTAGCAGGGTGCTGAGGCAGGGATGATGTGGCAGAGGAGATTCTGACTTTGTAGGTGCTTGGGTTGAACTTTGCCCAAAGTGTTCTGTGCTGAGGCAGCAGCCTTAGTCCCAGGGATCCCAAGACCTTTGGGTGGCAGTTCTCCAGGGACTTGGGGCATGGAGCAGGGCTGGAGCAGATTGTTGGAAGAATCCACATAGAGGACTGTGCCAGAGATTGCCTTTATTGCTGCGGTGTTGCCTGTCAAATCTCCAGCCTGAGTCTTATCTGCCAGATCTTGTCCATTTTCCCTAGCCTGTAGAGGACAATTCCCCATCTGCTGGCTTGGTCTGGGCCCCAGGGTTAATCTTTCCGTGGCAGACTTCAGGAAAACACTCCTGGTTGGGAGCCTTCAAGGGCTGGACTCCATCCTCCTGCAGAGGAGGGTGCAGGTGAACTAGGTGGGTATGTCTGTGGTTTGGCCCTGGAAATTTATTTTTCCAGGCAAAGGATTTGCTCTATGGAAAGGCAGTTTTGCTGGAGAAGCTGGGGTGAGAGGTTTTGAAAGAATCTGCCATGTCACAGCTGGCTGTAGCAGAAGAGCTGTGGAGGGTTCAGGGTTTGGGGTTCCTGTCCAGCTGTGTCCAAGCCTTTATCCAGATGGGAAGATTGTGGTGGGGAAGCTCCATGTACACAGGTGGGCTCACAGCTGTGTCCTGGCCAGCAAGTGGGCTTTGCTCCCGAGGTTCTGTGACATCTCACCAGTGGACCCGCTCTGACTTTGGGATCCGTGGGCACAGCACAGGGTGGGGTTAGTGCCAGGAAGTTGGGAGATAAGGCCAGCGGGATTTAGGTGTGAATCTTCCTGGGTCGCTGCATTGTTCCCTGGGGTCCCGATTGCTGCGGGGAAAGAGAGGATTCTGCCCCTGGGGTGAAGCTTTGTCCTTAGGCTCTTTGGTTTGCCCTGAACTGAGCCAGCTGAAATATTTTTGGCTTGCTGGGGTTTTTAAGTAACGGGTGTGTCAGCAAGTGCCTCTCTCATGATGAAAAGGCTTTCATGAGCCATCCTCAAAGCCGGTCAGGGTCTGGCTCTGGAAGAATGCTCTGTAGTTGGATCTTCAGAGGCTGGGGGGGAGGAGGGAGGGAATGGGCGCAAAGCGATCCCTGGAATTTCACCCTTGCGGGTTCCTGTGTACTTGGCTCTGCACTGTCACGAGTAGCTCACTGGCTGGAGGGAGCAGGATGCATAGCTGAGGCTCTCCCCTTCCTGCCCTCCCTGTCTGATTCTGGAGATGGCCACCGAGTGCCCGAGATGGCCACTGAGTCCCCCAGATGGCATTGGGACATGCAAGGGGCCTTATCCCTGAATGTGGGGCAGGTTCCTCACAGCTGAGGGGTGTAGGGCCGAGTTTGGGGTTTATGTGCCAAACCCAGGGAATGGCTGTGCTCCAGCCGGGATGGTGCTGGCTGTGTCTGCGGGGACAGCTCTTGCTGACCTCTCTGGACCTGGCACTGCCTCTCTGTAATTATGTCTTTAATCCCAGATCGATGAAGACAATGGCTGGAACGAGGGTAGAGGGAGCTGGTCTGTCCTGGTGGTGGAGGGAAAACGGGAGAGACCCCGTTCTGCTGGCACTTCTTGCACATCATGGAGCTGTGTTCAGTGCTCAGGGCAGGAACGACAGCTGTGTTCGCCGTGCAGCCTCTCAACACTGAGTCTCTCTGCTTAACATGGTCTGATCCTGCTGGGAGACCCTCAGGTGGCCCCTTCTTGAGCATCCATTGGAGCCGGAGGGTGAGGGACCTGTCCTCTTCCTTCCCCTGCTGTTGTGTTTACTCCCTGTGGAAGGGACGGGAAGGAAACAGCCTCACAGCTGCTCTGGCCCCTTATCTGGGGCCCTGACAGCCCTGCAAGTTTCATTGTTAGTGTCCATGTTTCCCAGCCCCATTCCCAGGGAACAGAGGTGGGGATTTGAGGCTGGGGGTGTCCCTGTGGGGGCTGTATGCCATGTGGGACCAAGGGGGAATCTCCTGTCCGTGCTTCCCACAGAGCCAGACCCTGCTAGTCTATATCTGCTCCAAGCATGATCCTCTTCATGATACCAGACCAGCCAAGTCTCTCTTTGGACTCGGGGAGCTGCCTCTGCCCTCCTGTGTCCTAATCTTCCTCTTCTGCATCGGGACTGTTGAGGGCTGGACAGGGAGCACAGCTGCTTGGAAAGGCGCTGTTGTGGAGGATCACTTCTCCACAGGGGGTTGTTCCTCTCTTCTAAAGAGTTTGCTGAAATACCACTCTGGAAACAGCAAGACAGGGGGACTGCTGGCTGGGATTTTGGATGCTGCAGTTTCATAGGGTGTTTGGAGTGGTAGGACTGCTCTGTGTCCTGCTGAACAACACTGAGATGTGGCAAGGAGCTGCTCCCCTTCCATCAGGGAGCCTTGGAAAGGCTGAGGATCTGTGTCTCTGCTTAAAACGGGTGGTAGCTCACTAGAGATAGGGAGTGTCACTCAGGGATGAGAGTTGGGATGTGTCAGCACTGTTCTGGGAGGCACCAAGCCTCTCCTTTGGAGAATCCTACAAATCCATAGGGCAGATGATCATTAAGGGTCAGACCCATTTCCATACAAAGCTCGGGGAGCCGATCTGTTGGAAAAGCCTCAGGGACTACCTGTTGCAAGGTGGGAGGGGTGGAAAGCTCCGTGCATGAGCCAGGCGTCCTGTCTGGGAGCCTCCAAAAGGTTGCTTGGACTCCGGAGGGTGGTGGGCTGCTCTTCCTGGGATTCACAGCTGGGCCAAGTGTGCCACAGCTCCTTCTCCTGCTGGGCACCATGTGGGCAGGAGTAGAGCAACTGGATTTTTTTATTGATCAAGGCAGATGACAGAGTGGCAGTGACCAGATGGTGGAACGCGTTGTGGGTGCCTTCCAGAGCACTTGGAAAACATCCACCGTGCATGGCTGGGCTCCGTTGCGGCAGTGCCACCGTGGCTGACATGCGCCTGTACCCGAGGGAGGCTTTGGGGAGCAGAGCCACAGGAGTGGGGAGGGGTTTGACAGATCAGAAGACTTTACTGAGCTGCTGTGCACAAGCGTTTGCTGCAGGCTGGGTCTAGAGGGGCTGCAGGAGGTGGTGGGAACAGGAATTCTGTGCCTGCGTGAGCTCTCTGCCCCAGGTCGTCCTTATCGGCCCTCTGGGGCGGTGGCACCGGGGAGTGGAGTGGGCAGAGCCGGTGCTGGAGACCGTGGGAAAGCAGCTTCTGTGCTGCTTGCCCGGCTTGAGCGAGTCCTCACATGCCTGCCATGACTGCAGAGCTTTGGGAAAACCTCTTGGGCTTGCAGGGACTCGGCCGGGCTGCGCGGGAGGGGTGCAAGGCTGAGCCCTGGCCGCTCCTCTCTCCCTCTGCCGTTTCTGCCGTCGGTGGGAACAGTGAGGGGTGCTGCAGTCTCCGAGGAGCTGAGGGGCTGTTGTGGGAGCAGCGCCGCGTTTGCCACCCCACCGGCCCTTCCAGACCCATCCCTCAGAGGGGAGGGGGTTGGAGAGAGGCGCCCGTTTCCCAGTTCCGTGCCTGCCCTACCTCCTGTTGAGGGGTTCTTGTGTGTGATTTTGACCTGCTCCCGCTGTCCCTGCAGCTCTCTTCCCTCCTGCTTCCTCACTGTGGTGGCTGGGCTGTTTCTCCCATGACTCTCTGCGTCTAGACCTGGCTGTCCCGTGCCTTTGCCAATCAAACCTGAGCTTCCTCCTCTGACAGGTCTGTATGGAAGAATATTGCCTTTCTGTACCAAAATGTTGATTGTGGCTCACTTGCTGTTCTCCTTTGGGTGGGAGTGTTGGAGGGGTGCAGGCCGAAGCCCATCCCCAGGTCTGTGGGCTGAGGATCCCTGGAGGGAGAGCCCTGGTGGATAACTGGAGGGTGGTGAGTTTTGGCAGCAGTCAGAGGGACTCATGGGATCCTCTTTAGGGGGATCCCATCACATTCCATCCTCTTCCTGGCTCGGAAGGAGCTGTGGAGCCAGGGCTGTCTCCCCATCTCTTAACACAGCAGGGAGGAGGGAGCAAATAAGTGACATGGCCCTCTCCCTCCGCCCTTCCCTGGAGGAAGCAGTAGGATGTGGGTCACTTCTCATTCTTCAGGAGCGTCCCCTGCCCCACCCCAGGGACATGCCCTCCCCTCCTGCACTGCCTGCCTGCAGCTTTTCCTGGTCCATGAGGTTTACTCCCTCAGCCCACAGCAGCTCTTCTGAACCAGGCTCAGCCCCAGCTGTTTGCTGTGCTGGGGGGACCTTCTGTCCCCACAGTGCCACTTTTCCAAGCTTTAACGCTGGGGCAGTTTGCATCTGAGTCCTGCTCCAGGACCCTCTTGCCAGCTCTCTGGTGATGGGTGGGAGCGGGTGTTAATGCCATATGATTTTTTTTTTTTTTCCTGTTCTGAAAATCTGTCTTAATGAAATCAGTCTCTTCTGACCGCTCTTCTCTCCTCCTTTCCTCCCCCAAAATCATGTACAGTGAAGAGAGGGGCTCCTGCCCTTCTGGGTCATTTTTCCCACCCTCACCTTGACACCAAGCCGCCTCTGCTTGTGCCTCCCCGTGCCCCCCGCCCTGCCCACCCTGGGCACCCGTCACCCATGGACGACTCGGAAGTGGAGTCGACCGCCAGCATCCTTGCCTCTGTCAAGGAGCAGGAGGCACAGTTCGAGAAGCTGACCCGGGCCCTGGAGGAGGAACGGCGCCATGTCTCGGCCCAGCTGGAGCGAGTCCGGGTCTCCCCACAGGACGCCGGCCCGGGCTTGGCCAACGGCACGCTCACCCGGCGGCACCAGGTAAAACACCCCCTCACCAGAGGGGCGTGCACAGGCTCCTGGAGCCCCAGAGCTGCCTCCCCTCAGCCCTCCTTGGATATGGGAGGTGGAGGAGGGCCCGGCTGTTCTTGTGGTACTGGTGCACTGGAGTCGGTCTGGGGGTGTGCAGACTTCCCTCGGCAGACAGCCTTCAGGAGAGGAGGTGACAGCCTGGAGGGTCTTGCTGCCAGGTTGGCTCTGCTCTGGTTTTGGGAAGGTCAGAGGTTGGCTGTGCTCAGTTGCAGGGCATCTCTGCTCCCATCCTGCTCGGCTGCTTGGAGGGCAGCTGAAATGCTGAGGCTGGGGTGTGTGTGTCTCCCTTTGTGTGTGACAAATCCCTGGAGTCTATTTGTCCCCACATGGCCAAACCAGGGCTGGGGGAGATCTTCTCTACAGGGCTGGAAATGTGGTTTCATTTGCCTTGGCTTGAGGCGTCTCCTCACTTTCTCAGGCTCAGTCTTGCAGAGGGGTGCTCGGAGGGCTGGTGTGTGGTGGTGTGCAGGAGCCAGGTTCCTTTCCGGCTGTGGAAGGTGGTGGTGCCAGGAGGGACCTGTGGGGCAGGGCAGGGTGGACAGAGGCAGAGTTCAAGTGTCAAACAGCAGCACCCTGCGATCGGCCACCACACGGTTCTCTCAGGCCCAGGGGGGCCTCTGGGGTCACTGGTGGCTCCTGCGCCAGGAGATGTGGAAAGTGTCCAGGGCCCTGCTGGGGAGCAGGGAAGGGTCGTGGCTGTTCCATCAGGAGAGCTGGGATGTCGGGATGTCTCCTCTGACTCTTGACCAGGCTGGCCTAGAGGAGATTTGCTGCACATGGCACAGACTCCCAAGGAGTGTGTTCCTCTGCTGGGGGCTCCCGTGGGGTGCATGGTGGGTGTCTCTGTCAGATGCATGAGATGGGCTGCTCAGGGCCCTGCAGGGGAGTGAGGATGGCTATGTGGCAGATCGGTGTAGTAACGGGCCTGCTGCCCTGCTGTGTTTCAGAACGGACGTTTCCTGGGCGATGCTGACCTGGAAAGGCAGAAATATTCAGATCTGAAGCTCAACGGGCCACAGGTAGGGGGAGCTCAGCCCTGTGGCTGTGGGCAGCCTGCTTGCTGTGGGAGGGTGCAGGACCATGCCCCAGTGTCACCATTCCAACTGGGAGAGGGTGGTTTGGGCTCCTCATGTGGCCATCCTGGCTTAAAAGGTACGTTCTTCCAAAAGGTACCAGGGTTCCCTGTGAAGAAAGATCTCTTGTCCAACTTACACCAGGAAGGTCTAGATCAGTGGCAGGGCCTGACTGCCTGTCATTTTCTCTCCTCAGGACCACAGCCACCTCTTGTACAGCACAATCCCCAGGATGCAGGACCCGGGCCAGATTGTGGAGGAGACGTACACCATGGAGGAGGACCCAGAAGGGGCCATGTCAGTCGTGTCTGTGGAGACATCAGATGATGGGACAACTCGGCGTACAGAGACCACGGTGCGGGCCTGGGGACACCATGGAGGGACAGGGCATGGTGGGGGACCCTGGTGGCTGGGTGCTGTGCCAGGAGCTGAAACAGGGTGTGAGATGTACCTGAAGTAAAGTGCTGGGCTGGAAGGGGAATCCAAGGACACAGGGACATGGTGGGTGTCCTCACGTAAGCGTGCCCTGCACGTGTGTTCCAGGTGAAGAAAGTGGTGAAGACTGTGACCACCCGGACGGTGCAGCAGGTGCCGGTGGGGCCTGACGGCCTGCCTTTGGAGACATCCCCCGTCACCAGCAACTACGTCCAGACCATGGACAGGAACTTCCGCAAGAACGGCAACGGGGGCCCCGGCAGCTACCTGGGCCAGGCGGGCACGGCCACCCTCCCTCGCAACTACCACTACCCCGACGGCTACGGCCGCCCCTACGAGGACGGGTACCCGGGCAGCGACCACAGCTACGGCAGCCTGTCCCGCGTCACCCGCATCGACGAGCGCTACCGCCCCTCCATGGACACCTATCGGGCCCCCAGCCGCCAGGACATCTACGGCCCCCAGCCCCAGGTGCGTGTTGGGGGCAGCAACATGGACCTCAACCATTTCCACCCCGAGCCTTATGGCCTGGAGGATGACCAGCGCAGCGTGGGCTTTGAAGATGTGGACTACGGGCTGATGTCTGACTATGGCACGGCCAGGAGGGCGGGGACCCCGTCTGATGCTCGGCGGCGGCTCAGGTACGTGGCAGGAGGCTCTGGGGTGCTCTGGGGTCCCTTGAACTTTACTGTCCTTGGAGGAAGGAGGACCATGGACGCAACACTGTGAGCTGAGTCACACGTGGCTCACACAGGAGAAAACTTTCATCCGCTTCTAATTGTCTGCTTAATTGGTGGTTAAACCTGGATGCTAATTGAGCTGGTCGTCCTGCAGCCAGGAGTTCCAGTGGGCAGCTGGATGTAGCTCCAGGCCCTTCTCTCTGTTGCCACCAGGGCTGTGTGTGTGCTGCAGTGTGGCATATCCCTCTGGGAGTGGTGCCCGTGTGGGTTGTGTCAGGAGCAGCTGCCGTCCCATGATTGTGCTCTCCCTGAGCCAAGAGCAGCCCCGGGAAGGGGAGCTTAGCCCAGGCTGGGGTGAGCAGGGCTCGGCCCCACAGTGCCCCAGGAGTGTTCCTGCACAGCCCGACCCTGCTGCAGGGCAAGGCGGGAGAAGCTGCTCAACCTGTTTGGCAGCAGCAGCAGCAGCAGCTTCTCCCCCTTGTGTGTCTGTGGTGATGGCGGCTCCTCCAGTTTGCTGGCTGTGCTGCCCTCGGAGGCCAGAGCAGAGTCCTGGTGGTCCTTCCTGCCTTGCCAGGCATTCAGGTTGTCACCTGCCTGAGGCCGTGACTCCTGCCCATCAGTCTCTTGTGGCAGCCATCCCTGCACAAGTGCTACTTCCTGCTCTGCTCCTGGCTGGGCTGTCAGCAGGGCTTGGGCAGGTGCTGGGGAATGGCTCTAGGGGTGGTGAGCTAGCAGTGGAATGAGGGGCAGAGCCAGAGTCCTGGAGATGGGGAAGGGTCTGTGTCAGCACCTCCTGAGTGCCCTGTCTGCCCAGGCAGACAGGTAAGGCTCAGTTCAGGAGGCCTAAGCTTCTGGGACATAAAACAAAAAGAGACTTGGGGGAAAGGAGGCTCTTACCAGCCCCTGTGGAGATCTGCCCAATCCAGGTGCATGCTATAAATCCATGGTAGCTCCTGGCTGCCGGAGGGACTGAAGGAGCAGTTTTGTCTGTCCTTGTGGCTGGTGCCAGCACAAGTGCTTCTGGGCTGTGGTGAGCCAGTCAGGGCAGTTGCTCACCCAGATGGATTTGCTCAGCCCCCTCACTTTGTGCTGGCTGGAGAAGGGCAAGAAGGGCTGCTCCAGTCTTCTCTCTCCTTGGCAGCCTGGGACAAGCCAGTGTTGGCAGTTTTGAGCACATGGCCATCAGGTCTCATCCCTCAGGGAGCATCTTGGGCAGAAGGGGTTACACAGGTGTGTCCAACCCCTGACTGCTTGTCCAGATAGTGACTCTGGCTTGTGTACTTTCCCTGGGCTGTGTCCTGGGTGGCCTTTGAGATCATGAGCCCTCTCTGCTGTGGAGAAAGGTGTCTGTGCTCCTGCTCCTCCATGTCCTGGAGGAGGGGGTTACAGGAGTCAAGTGCAATAGCTGCGGCCAGGTGGGAGACTGGAAGATGTGGGTCACATAGAGGCAGAAGGTCAGCTCTGTTGGAGTTGCAGGAATGGCTCAGGGTATGAAAGATGGGTTGGTGGGCCCCTGAGCCAGCTCTCCCTCTCCCCGGGCAGGGCGATAAAGATCACAGCAATCTGTGGAATTCAGGCGCTGTTGAACTTGGCTTGTCCCCCACCTTCTCAGTTACTGTCCACACTGGCTGCCCAGCTCACAGGAATGGGAACAGGGAGAGCAGCGTCCCCTGCCTCAGAGATGTTTGTCTTGAGCAGGAGCCTGGCTGTTAACGACTTCCTTCGGGGAGGCAGCTCGCCAGGCACGCGGAGCCGAAGGAGCGCCTCGAGCCGCGGGACGCCGTGCGTGCTGGCTGCCATCGGCATCCAGCCCCTGCTCTGGGGCTCTTGTCAGAGCTGCCTCTCTGCAGGGAAGGAGGGAAGGGGCTCCTTCCCATTCCCCCTGCCAGCCTCATCTTGCCTGGAGGGGATTCAGCACCACGGGTGGTGGGATCCTCCACAATTGCAGGGTGGGATCCAGCACCATGGTGGGACAGAGCTCTCTTTCGGGGAGCACGAGTCTTGGCACAGGAGTGGGATCAGCTGCCAGCCGTGTTGGCAAGTGTCAGTGGCTGCGTCTCGCTCCAGCCTTGTGCTGCTGCTGCTCCTGAGCAGCTCTGAGCTGCCAGGCATGGGGCATGTCCCCACTGGGACCTGCTGGAAGCCAGCCTGGCAGCCCTCTGCCACACCACGACAGTGCCACAGTGCCCAGGGGTTGTGTGACTGTGGAAGTGGCTCTAAAGCTGATTGCTTGGGCAAATCCTGTACCAGAGGTTGTAGGAAGGAAAGTGGTGGCAGCAGCAGGACCTGCCACCATCCTTATCAGGATACTCAGGACCTGGAGCTGCCTGTTCCTGATCTAGGAACTCTGGAGGTGGCTGAGCAGCCCCTGGGGCAGGTGTGAGCTGGAGTGGAGGTAGAAGCCTCTCCTTGGATGTTGTTTGAATGTCCTCGGTGCCCTGGCACAGCAGGGGTGACCGAGCTGTCTCCTCCCATCCCTTTCTGTTGGAAATACTGGATTCCTCTGCCTGGGTGGGGGAAGAATTATAGTGCCAGTGACTGCAAAAATGGGAGAATCTGGGATTTGAGAGGTGTATGTTCTGGGAATGTGAAATGTCAGTTTGGCATGTGGGGCAGTAGTTACACTTTAAACTTCTATGTGCTTGTTTGGGCTCATTCCCAGTGCTGCCAATCCGTGGATGAGCTGTCCCTGGCCAGGGCAGAGGTCTGGGACCATGGCTCCTCCCCAGGCCTGCCTCGGGAGCCACGAGGTTGATCCCTGGAGCCTGTGTGTCTCTTGGTGCCCAAATCGACCTGTCCCCAGGGCAGCAGCGCACCTTATCTGTGGAGCTGGCTCTTGCCTGTGCCCCAGGGCTGGCTCCTGCCTCTGCAGGGGTCAGAGACCAAGATCCAGCTTCATCCCTTCTGGTGGGCTGGAAGGGGCACTGCCTCCCCCAGGTCCAGGACTGTGCTCAGATGCCCTCTGCCTTCTCTCCTAGGAGTTATGAAGACATGCTGGTGGATGAAGTGGCCCCCGACCGGTACTACTGGGCCCCGCTGGCCCAGCACGAGCGGGGCAGCCTGGCCAGCCTGGACAGCCTGCGGAAAGGCGGCCCGGCCCCGGGGAACTGGCGCCAGCCGGAGCTGCCAGAGGTCATAGCCATGCTGAGCTTCCGGCTGGACGCTGTCAAGTCCAACGCAGCCGCCTACCTGCAGCACCTGTGCTACCGCAACGACAAGGTGAAGACGGAGGTGCGCCGGCTGAAGGGCATCCCCGTGCTCGTGGGGCTGCTGGATCACCCCAAGAAGGAGGTGCACTACGGCGCCTGTGGAGCTCTCAAGAACATCTCCTTCGGCAAGGACCAGGATAACAAGATCGCCATCAAGAACTGTGATGGGGTGCCCGCTCTGGTGCGCCTGCTGCGCAAGGCCCACGACATGGACCTCACCGAGGTCATCACAGGTAGTGGCTCCAGGGAGGGCTGGTCCCTGGGGTGGGCTCTGTGGTCAGGGTTCAAGCACTCACCTTCCACTTGTGGCGTTGCAGGGACGCTGTGGAACCTGTCCTCGCACGACTCCATCAAGATGGCCATTGTGGATCACGCACTACATGCCCTGACCGATGAGGTGATCATTCCCCGCTCCGGCTGGGAGCGGGAGCCCAATGAGGATTCCAAACCCCGCCATATAGAGTGGGAGTCAGTGCTCACCAACACCGCTGGCTGCCTTAGGTATGGATCTGGCAGAGCACTGGCCTGGGTTTGGGCTGCAGCACTCCTTCTGGGCTGTTCCTGGCAGGCTGTTTCAGAGGACTGTGGAGCAGCTGCTCTTGTAAGACAGCTGCTGGTGGTGCAGACCTTGAGTTTGGAGGCATTTACCCTCAGTGAGGGGAGCTGCAAGGAGCTCTTTTCTCTCTTGAGCCCTGCGGGGTGTGGGCTGCCCCTCGCCTGCCCTCAGCTGTCTCTCCCATGATGGTTCTCTTCTGCCTGCCAGGAATGTGAGCTCAGAGAGGAGCGAGGCCCGTCGGAAGCTGCGGGAATGTGACGGGCTGGTGGACGCCCTGATCTACATCGTGCAGTCTGAGATCGGCCAGAAGGACTTGGACAGCAAGGTACCACAGCAGGACTGGTGTTGGGAAAGGGAGAGCCTGTGAGGGGTGCACTGGGCACTGTTGGACCAGGAGGTGTCTGGCACTCAGCCTGCAGTTTGGGGTAGGAATGTTGGCCTCCCAGCAGGGGCCTGGTTGTGTCACTCATCCCCACACCATTGTCCCCTGGCTCAGGGCTTCCCGATCAGCCTGGATAAGGTTTCGGCTTGAATGTTCCTTGAGCTTTAAGCTGAAGGCTGGGCTGGGCCCTTGCTTACCTGTAGTGCTGCTCCCAGTCTCTCAGTCAGACACTCTGGTTCTCTCCCCAGCTGGTGGAGAACTGTGTGTGCCTGCTGAGGAACCTGTCCTACCAAGTCCACCGCGAGATCCCCCATGCCGAGCGCTACCAGGAGACGCCGCTTGTCCCTGCCAACAACGCTGGGCCCCACAACGCCAGCTGCTTTGGGGCCAAGAAAGGCAAAGGTTCGTGTGCCAGCAGCAGCAGGGAAGGGAGGGAGGGGAACAGAGACAGGTCTTGAGGGTGGTCTGGGGTCTTTGTGCTCCTACTTGGGCATCTCGTGTGAAGCCTGAAGGGCAGCTTTCTCTGGTGATGCAGTGGTCCCTGCTTCTCTGGCTCTGGGAGCTATTGCTTGGCTTGCCCAAAGCATTTGACACAAGCTGTGGTGGGTGTCTGTGGTGGCGGGATGGTGACGGATATGTGTCCACTAATTCCACGCCTTCCCTTTTCTCCCGTGTTGCCCCTTCCCCTTCCCTTTGCTTTCTTGCCAAATGATCTGCCCCATGATGCTGTCGGCACTTCTCTCCTCCTGCCTCCCCTCTCTCCTGTCCTTCTGTCCACCTCACCAATAGACGAGTGGTTCTCCAGAGGTGAGTGCGCTCTTGGTTTTACTTTGTCCATGGTTTAATTGGGTGCTTTCTCCAGCTCTCTTTACCCCCCTCCCTAGCTGGGCGCATTCTGCCTGCAGTGTGGCTAATACCCCCAATGTCCCCTCCTGCGACACGCTGGTCGCTTGGCTTCAGCTCGCCTCTGGGCTTATTCCTGCAAGTGGCAAAGAGCTGTTGGGCCGAGGCGGGTGGGGAGAGGAGGAGTCTGACGCCTCTCCACTTGCCTTTTGAAGGTAAAAAGCTCCCAGAAGACCCTGGTGCCGACACAGTGGATTTTCCCAAAAGAACAACTCCAGCCAAAGGTATGCTTCTTGAGTGATTATGCAGGGCTTGGGTGTCAGGGCAGCTTTTGCCACAGCAGCCTGGGAGAGGAGAGAGTGAGAGGAGCTCTTTCCCATTGAAGTGAGCCTCTCCAATGGGCAGAAGTTTGATTTGGAGCAGGAATGCCTAAGGGCCTGTTAAAATATGAGCTCTGCCATTAGTTGAGAGGATCTTGTGCATGGATGAGGTCAGCGCTGCCTCAGGACAGGCTTCACAGTGAAATACTGCCCCAAGGGCTAAGGGACAGCACAGTGATGCAGCCCTCTGCGGTGGTCTCTCACTTGCCAGCACAGTTGCCCTCTTGCCTGCTCTTCACTCTGGGGCACGGAGATTTAAAGCTAAAATCTCTGTCTTAAAGTGTTCCTCAGCCATGAGAATGAGGAAGGGTCATTCCCAGACGCCTCTGGGGACAAGTGTCTGACTGCATGTGAATCACAGCCCCTGACCAAGCAGTGGCTGGGGTTTCTGGTACCCTGGGGCAGCTTGGCTCTTTTTGTGCCAAGGATCCCACTCCCTGAAAGCTTGGCTAGAAGCTTCCAGCTTTGTCTGCCCAGCAGTGCCCCTTTGGATTAGGCAGATGCTAGCAGAACCCTTGGATAAACCCTTGTCCTCCTGGCAGGCTATGAGCTCCTCTTCCAGCCAGAGGTAGTGCGGATATACGTCTCCCTCCTGAAGGAAAGCAAGACTCCAGCTATCCTGGAGGCTTCAGCAGGAGCCATCCAGAACCTGTGCGCTGGCAGCTGGACGGTGAGTGCCCACGGAGGTGGCGGTGTGACAGGGAAGGGGACCTGGGAGCCAGCGGGGCTGGCAGCAGTGTCCCCAGCCCCAGGTGACACGGTGACCCTGTCCCTCCCCACAGTACGGCCGGTGCATCCGCTCAGCCCTGCGCCAGGAGAAGGGGCTCTCTGCCATCGCCGACCTCCTGACCCACGACAGCGAGCGCGTGGTCAAAGCGGCATCCGGGGCCCTGCGCAACCTGGCCGTGGACCTGCGCAACAAGGAGCTGATCGGTGAGCCTGGCACACTCCCTGTATCCGTGCGGGCTAGGCAGGAGCTTCCTCCTCTTGGCTGCTGGGGAATTGTGTGGGCACAGTGTCAGCCCAGCCTCTGTCTGCTACCCTCACCCAGAGCAGAGAGTGCTGAACTCTGCAGAGAGGGACAGTAAAACGCATCACCTGTCTGTGGTTTTCCCTTCAGTCCTGTTCCCTGCTTGCTCACACCCAGCTCTTTATCCTTCCCAGGCAAACATGCCATCCCCAACCTAGTGAAGAACCTGCCTGGAGGCCAGCAAACCCCTGCCAAAAACCTCTCTGAGGACACAGTGGTGTCAATCCTCAACACCATCAATGAAGTGATTGTGGACAACCTCGAGGCGGCCAAAAAACTCCGGGAAACACAGGGGATCGAGAAGCTTGTGCTGATCAACAAATCTGGGTAGGCTCTGCTCACAGGATGATGGAAGGAGTGGAGAGGGGCTTCACTTTCTCCAGTTTCCCAAACATCTCTTCCTTTGCCTCTTTTTAGGAACCGCTCAGAGAGAGAAGTCCGGGCAGCCGCCCTTGTCTTGCAGACAGTCTGGGGCTATAAGGAGCTGCGGAAGCCCCTTGAGAAGGAAGGCTGGAAGAAGTCAGATTTCCAGGTGGGAGGATGTTCTTTGGTGACAAGGGGGGTAGGTGGGGTCCTGGGGCTTGGCAGTACTGGCCTGCAGCTCTTCACCTTGCTGGTGGCTCTGGGCACCCACAGAGGTGGGTGCCAAAGGCCAGCAAGATGTCTCTGCTAGGAGCACTCTGTAAAGTGTCATGCCCTGTCCAACATGAGCGTGAGGCAGGAATTTTGTCACTCTGACTGCTTCTGCGGCAGTATTGAAGGACAGAGTTCTCCCAAGCTCAGTTTCCTTCCCAAAAGCAGGGACTCCCCTTGCTGCTGGAGGGCCAGGCACTGCCCTGGTCCAGGCAGGCCCCCCCGTTCTGATGGGGGTGTAGTGGGGGCTTCAGCACCTTCTGGTTACTTTGGGTCCCTTACTCAAGGGCTGTGGGAGGGTTCCTGGATTTGTGCTGGTGCTGGAGAGGTGAGATATGTTGGTGAGGAAGAAACCTCTGGGCCCAGGGTTTGAGTGGTCACTGTCTGTTCCTGTAGGTGAACCTGAGCAATGCCTCTCGGACCCAGGGAGGCAATGCCTTTGATGACAGCACCTTGCCTCTCATCGACAGGAACCAAAAAACAGGTACGTGTTTGCCTTCAGCCCTTCTGCCCGCCATCATCTCTCTGCCTTGTGGGTACTCACGGCAGCTGGCGTTTGTCCCCCCCCTGCACTTCAGCTTTGGCTTCCCTGGCAGCCACAGCTGCTCACACAGGACCCTTAGTATGGGCCTTGGGTGGCTTTCCTGGCCATCAGAGCCCTCAGTTTGGGCCTTAGATGGCTTCTTGGAGCGGGCACTGTAGGTCCTGTGGTGTCCTTGGGTCACGCAGCTGCAGCTGGGCCTGGGCTCCCCCAGCTGGGGCAGGGAGCAGTTTTTCTGCAGCTCCTGGCTGCAGGAACTGTCCCTGATGTACTCTCCCATGCTTGTAGACAAGAAATCCTCCCGGGAGGAGATCCAGATGAGCAACATGGGACCAGGTAGGAGAGGGACTCCCCCTCAGTGTGTGGGGAACAGGACAGAGTTCACATCTCCTGCGGGGGTGGTGCAGCCCCCCGTGGAGGTGACACGGTTCACTGACTGTCCCCTCTCCTGCTCCAGACAACTATTCCACACTCAACGAGAGGGACCACAGCAGGACGCTGGACCGATCCGGTGACCTGGGAGAGATGGAGCCGGGGAAAGCAGCGCCGTTGATGGTGAGCAGCTCTCTTTAACTCGGGAGGAGTGGGAGGGCTGCAGGAAATGCCACATCACTGTCCTGCCTGGCAGAGGAGAGCAGAGCTGGGTTCCCACAACTAACACCCCCCATGCCATGGCCCCTACTAACCCCATGTGTCTGCAGCAGGAGGAGGGGCAGGAGTCGCAGCCTGAGGTAGAGGAGGAGGAGGAAGATGCTGCTATTCCCTCCCCCATGTCGGTATGTCCCAAGGTGTCCTGCCCAATCTTACAGTGGTGACAGATCCTGCTGTGCTTTTAGGGGTGCTTGGTCAGCCAAATCCTGCTGCAATCATTGCTGCTGCAATCACTGGTGCCGTGATCCTGCCTCCGCCCTCACTCCCACTCCATCCTTAACACCTGTCTCTCCCTCTCTCTCTCCCCACAGCAGAAGATCTAGCTGGCCTCCCTGCCTCTGCTCCGTTTGGGTTGATAATATATTATATATATAAATATATAACTCTTCATGGTGGAATGGACCGACTTTTACCTTGTCTTATTGTTGGAATTTTGCTGGACTCTCTGTGCCAACCATCCAGCCAAATGCCTGGGCCGGGCCCCCAGGGCAGCCCGGGCCACTCAGTCTCCTCCGGGCCGCTGCACCTCCCTGTTCTGGGACACCACCACTGAGAACTCCTCCTCCCGTCCTCCACCACCTCCTTCCTCCTGAGAGTAAAACCTTCCTTCCTGACTCTGCCGGATCAGCCGGCGTGGATGCTGCACAAGGACTCGGATCTCTGCCTTGACCAGGAGCTGCCTTCTCTCCCACGCCTTCCCCCTGCTCCGAGGTGTCTTGCAGGGACAGGACTGGGACCTCACTTGCCGCCGCCTTGTTTTTGGTTTGGTTTTGTTGCCTATAGGATATATTTTTTTGTGCGGGATCACTCTTCAACCAGGGCCGTGGGGACAGCAGGAGCATCCCTCCTCCCTGAGGGCTGCAGGACCAGAGTCCAGGGGCTGGAGGCACAGGGGCCAGGGGAAGGAAAACCAGCAATAATGTCTCTTGCTTTGTTCTAGATGAGGCTTTGGGGGCATGGGAAGGGGGATCCAGCTCTGGATCCTGCAGAGGGGTCTGGATGGGGCCCTGGCTCCCACCCAGTGCCTGTGTGAGGAGGATCCTTCTGTGAGGAACGGGGTCAGTTCTGGGGCGTGGGCCAGGGTCCCCGCGGAGGGAGGAGATGCGGCAGGGTTTTGGGGAGAGCGGGCGGCTCGGGGCGCACTGCCGGGCACCTGGAGCCGGGATCCCGCGGCGCTGCCCCGCTGACTTTCTCTTGACACGTGCCTTTCTTTTGCCACTGTGAAATAGCTCTTTGAATCGTACTGTCCGGCTGCTTCCCTGGGAAAGGGGAGTTTCCTGGGCTTCCGGCAGGGCTGAGCTCTTCCCTTCCCCACTGGGAGCCTTACCTGTCTGCAGTGGGGCTGGGAGCCTGTTTTTGGGGGAGCCCAACCCCCCTGCCCTCGCTGAGAGGTTGTGGGGTGCTCATCTGCATCCTGGCCTGGGCTGCCACGGGAATTGGGATGTGCTGCTCCTCCTCCTCCTCTTGGCTGTGGTGCTGGGGCACATCCATGTGCTGTGATCTTTCGGGGGGCCCTGGGGCTCCCTGTGCAACTGGAAGCCTCTGTAGGAGGCTGCAAACTGGAGCAGGAGCCCTCCCAGCCCGGGGCTCCCCCCAGGGCGGGCTCCCAGGGCACGAGGAAATGGCAGGGGCAGAGCTGGTGCCTTGTTCCTGCCCCAGTTCCCCCCTAGCTCCGGCTGGGCCTGCCCTGCTTCCAGCCCCACCTCAGCTCGGTTGGGTTTTGTTCTGGGGTCTAACTCTTCTCTTTTCCTTTAAATATGTAAAACACTAATTCCTTTTTTAATTTTTAATTCCAAATGAACCAAAAAGACAGCATCCCCCTTCTCTCCTCCTTGGCCCTGGTGGGGAGGTGGGCCAAGGAGGTGGGGAGGGGGAAGCGCCAAGCCGTTCCTTGTCTGATTCCTGTGCACACTCTTGTAACGCTTTTAAAACAAAATGATTTTTTTATATAAATAAAGTTTTTAAAGTGTGATGTGTGCCTGCCCCTTCGGTGTTTCTGGCTTTGCTGCTGGACCCAGGTGCCTTTTCCAGGAGTGGTGCTGGTTTCCTTGGCCCCCAGAGGTGTCACTTTGTGACAAACCACGTGGTATTTCCCAGCCCTCCCACGTTGCCTTGCACCCTTGTCCCCAAAGCCACGAGTAAGCAGAGAAAAGGCAGGGCTGTATATTTTATTGCTTCAGGTCCAAGGGGCAATGCCAGGGATGTTTGCAGGGAGGGGAATAAGGAACGATACCTGGCTGAGCAGCAACAAGGCTGGGGACAGTTGGCTGAGTGGGACCAGTACCAGGGATGTTGATGGGTGGGATATGAGGCGTGTTTGGGTCAGCAGGGACAACGCCAGGCATGTTGATGCTGGGCCTCAGAGAAAGAGCTTGTCGTGGCAGGGCTGGCAGTACATTTTGTCACCGCGCTCGCTGAAGGTGCCCTTCTGCAGCCGGCGCATGCAGTAGCTGCAGATGAAGTGCTCGGGGTGGTACCTGCGCCCCGCGGCCGTGATGCAGCGCCCGGTGACGGGGTGGCCGCAGCCGTGGCAGATGGTGCCCTGCCGCTGGTGGAAGTGCAGCTCGCAGTACGGCCGCCCCTCCAGCTCGAAGAAGGACCCGCTGCTGAAGCCAGTCAGGCACTCCTAGAGGAAGGAGAGGGGAAGGCTGGCATGGCCCCGGGAACACCCCCATTACGTGCATCCCTGCCATCCCACTCACCGTGCACACGAAGCACTCAGTGTGCCAGACGCCCTGCAGGGCCGACAGGTAGTTATCCGTAACAGGGCGCTCACAGCCCTGGCATTTGGGGGCAAACATGGCCAGGAAGTCCTGGTGGCAGTACGGCTTCCCGTTGCGCTCCAGGAACCCTGTAGGGAGGGGATTGGGATGGGCACCCACCTGGGAATGGCTCACACTGGGGACAGTGGGACATGGACATGGTGCCACCCAGGACAGGAGGCAAGGGAGAGACCATGGGGAGCTGTTGGATGGGGCAGTAAGTGCAAGAGCTGGGGATACCTGGGATGGGGCAGGACCCCTGCACCTGCTCCTTGGGACATACCTTCATCTCCGAACACCTTCCCACAGTGGGCACAGAAGAAGTGCTCGGGGTGCCAGGTCTGCTCCAGGGCCGTGAGGACTTTCTGCAGGAAAAGCTGAGGTGAGGGGGCTGGCCGGTGGTGGTAGGGGAGGCCGGGGGGTCGCTCACTCACCTCGCGGATGGGGCCGGCACAGTAGGCACAGCGCGGGGAGAAGGCCTGGTGATAATCCTCCTCGCAGAACGCCCGCCCACCCTGCTCGAAGAAGGGCCCCTTGTCCAGCTCCCTCCCGCAGTGGGCACAGGTGAAGTGCTCGGGGTGCCAGGTTTTGCCCAGGGCTGTGAGCACCTGCAAGGAGGAGGCAGAAGGGCTGTGAGGGAAGCTCCGGGGGGATGCCCTGGGGTGCTGGGGTGGCAGCGGGGGCTCACCTTGCCGGCGATGGGCTTGCAGCAGGCGGCGCAGATGCCGGCGGGTGCGGCCGTGATGCCCAGCTCCTGCAGGTCCCGGGTGAGGCTGTCCAGCATGTTGTCCAGCACGGACTCTGCGGGCATCCCAGCTCCCTGCCCTGCAGCTATCAGCTGCTGGGAAGGAGGATGGTGAGGTCTGAGTGAGGGCCAAGCCCCCCAGCCTGCTGCCCAAGGCTCACCTTGCTCTGTGTGTGGCCCAGGTCGGCCAGGAGCTCATCCAGCTGCGAGGCGGCCTCCGTGCGCGGCGGTGAGGGGAGCAGCGGCTTTGGGTCTCGCACCGGGGTGCTGGACATGGCAGAGAGGGGAGATGCTGTGGTGTCCCCCCCAAGGCCGGGACCAAGACCCCTCCACCCCTGCCAACATGGGCCACTGCAGGGATGCAGAATCGGTCCCAGGTGACCCTGGATGGCAGATCCCAGCAAGGAATGGACAGCCTCAGATGGCTTTGCCCTCCCATGGCCATTTTTACCTGTACACTGAATCCAAACCTTCTCTTGGAGGCTGAGCTCGAGGCGGCAGTGGCACCTGAAAGGACAAGCCCTTGTGGGAGCGCCTTCAGGTGCTCCCCTGGCAGCTTCCCCTGCCCAGCTCCACCACCCCAGACCCTGAGGGGTCTCTGTGCTCAGGCATTACCTTCTGGGTATCGTGCTGGGCATCCTGGCAGGAGCTTGGTTCCTGCAGTGCACGGTCCTTGGAGGCCAGGCAGGAGCTCTGCTCCAGTTCTGCCAGCAAAGCATCTGCACGGAGACACCTGGGTCAGGCCCCACTAGCTGCCCACCCTGAGATCTTGTATCACTCCCAAAATCTCAGGAGCAAAAGGAGTTTCACAGCAGGTCCTGCTGGCCAGCTGCCAGCAACCCGAGGGGCCTTGAGGCTCCCATCCCAGTGCAGGATGTGCCCACTTTTCCAAAGAGTGGGGCAAAGACTCCTGCCCCCCACACCATCCTTGGCCAGCAAAGAATCCTCTGCCAGTCCTCAACTTGACCCAGCATAAGCCTTGGCAGGGAAAAGCTCACCCTGGGCTCACACAGGGCCCAGCCTGCGTGTTGAGAGCACCACTTCCCCCAAGGTGGGCCGAACACTTTTCCTTTCCGCTTTCACCTCTCTGCCTTGGCTGTCCCTCACACTGGGAAACAGGGAATGCCCCCAGCAGTGTGGCTGCTTCCCTGACCCTGGCTTCCCCACCCCAGGCCAAGGATGGCTCTCAGCTCCTGCTGGGTGCAGCCAGGGTTGTGGTGCTGCTGCAGCCCATTTCCTGCTTCCATTTTTAGCCAAATGCTCACTCGACCACCGGCCCCACCGGACCCTTGGGATGGGGGAGGCACAGGAGGGAACAAGGCTCCACGGCAGCCCCTCAGCAGCATCCCCTCCCTGTGCCGAGGAACAGGAAGGAAAAGGCTCCCCGGAAATGTGACCCCAAAGCCAGGCCTGGCTGCAGGATCAGCTCCGGAAAGGCCCAACTTACCCAAATCCTCCATCCTGCCTTGGTGTGGGGTCCCAGAGCAGGGGCAGCACCCCGAGGTGCTGAGATGGCAGTCGAGGCTGCGCCGGCTCTGTTCCGGTCTCGCCTCCACCCCCCCGCCAGGGTTTGTCACCCAGTGTTTCCTTTGTGGGCTGTGTGCCTCACGCTACGTGTGACTGGCACAGCTGGGGCACAGAGAGCCACAAACAGCCCAGGATGGGGAGGGAGATGGGAGAAACTGGCCAATGGGCTGCCCAAGGAGCTCCAGAAGCCAAGATGTGGATGTCCGGCGGATCCAGGCCACTGGCCACATGTGACAAGTTGACGGCATCCCTGTGCTGGGTGGAAATGGGTTTGTGGCAGCATGATGGAGCAATGCTGTCACATTCCAGCAGAACCTTGCCTTTGGGAGACGCTTCTGAAGCCTTGTCATCGATTTCCAGGTATCAGCAAACCCTTTCTCGGTAGAGAAATCGATGCTGCTGGGAGCAGGCAGTAGATGTGGAAACAGCTCCAAGGGGCTGGGGGAATGTTAATGCCAGAGGTGGGTGCACTTGGCTTGGCGTGTCCTTTGGATTCTTGTTTGGGTGTTTGGTAGGTGACCAACAACATCTCTGTCACGTTGGCCACAAAGCCTCACCGTGTCCTAGCTTGGCTCCTCTTTAGTCCAGCCAAAAAAACCTTGGAAGCAAAGGTTAAGAGCCACAGACTCTATGCTCTCTGTGGAGAGGCAGCAGCGCCCACACAGGTCAGGCTGGCCCTGCCTTGGCCCTGATGAGCCCCCACAGGTGGGACAGGCTGGACCTGAGCTACCTCAGGGGTCACTTCATTCCTGACACCATTTTGTCGCCTGCTCACAGCCGGGACATCCAGCCCAGCCCCGCCTCAGGAAAAGCCCCTGGGACACCAACTCACTGTGTCTGGGCTGTGTTTCGGGCCAGGAATGCTGAGAGGAGGCGCTGCTAGTGTCACTCCTCAGGACTGCTTGGCCATGGGATCCTTGTGTCAGGCGCTTCCCTTTCTGCACACAACAGAACCTTCCTGCCTGCGGAAGGTTTGGGGCTATTTTTAGCTTTCTCACTGATTTAGTGATGTGTGAGCCTGAGTGCACACAAGCATCTGGAGCTGGAACTTCTTAAAACTTGTCCTTACAGAACCCAGAGGCCAAAGGCTGAGCTGTGCCCTGCCCTGAGCTCTGCTCCCCTGTTCTAACAAGAATTAATTCCCCAGCCTGGCCTGCAGAGGGGAAATCAGTCATGACAATGACAGGGACAGGTTGGCATGGGGCTGACAAATAGCAGGGACAGAAGGAATCCCTGTGCGAGGATCCCGAGGTTTTCTTTAACTTTCATGCACGGACATTCTCCTCCTTCCCAGTGTTTGGGTCAGGGGAACGTGGCTCTCAACAGTGAGGGGGTTTGTTAGCAGACTCTCAGGAACTGTTGGACACACTTTTGTTTTCTAGGAACATACCAGAGCTCAGGACTTGAAATGCAGAACCAGAAAGGATTTGAAATGCAGAAGCAGAAGGAAGCACCAGGCACTTGGAGCCCTCTCACTGCTGGAACCAGTTCAACAAACAGGATTTTCCAGCTGAACACTGCGGGCTCTTTGAACCAACCCCTGTGATTTTTGCTGTCTCCCGAGGCAGGATGAGGAGCACCTTGTTCTGGGGAAGTGTTACCCTTTGTTCTCGGTGGGTAAGATCAGCCAAACCCTCCGCTCCAGAGCAAGCACACCCCGCTCCTCTTCCCCAGTCCAAGCCCTTGATCCTGGCCCGATGTCACATCCCGCTGCACCCAAGGCAAGGGAATACTGTGCCAGGTCCAAGAGCATGGACATCGAGGCAGCTAGGACAGTAGGGAAGGGGACAAAGTGACAAAACCCGCTCCCGGGTGGCGCCTTCAGCGTCTGTGGGGGCGAAGTTTTGGGGTTTTGTGTGGCTTTAACGTACAGCTCCTGTGGGAGAATCAGGCGCTGATGGGGTTGTTTTGGGGAGGGACTCCGGCCTTGGAGACCACGGGCGGGTCCCCCCGCACAGCTGCTCCAGGGCTTCCTGCCCAGGCGCTGTTCGGGACGGGGACACAGCCGGGAACGGGGAAGCGGCACTGCTTCAGCTCCGGTAAACTACAACTCCCGGCAGACACCGCGCATGCGCGACCGCGGGACGGAAGCGGGCGGGACTAGGGCTGTGTGCCCCGCCCCCCTTGAGCCGGCCACCATTTTGTCACCGACTTTCACCCGCCGCCCGACGGGGCGTTTTTTTTTTTCTTAAAGGAGAAGCGGTAGCCAAAAGCGGCCCGGCCGTCAGGCCCCGCCGGTACCGCGGGCGGCGCCGCAGCCCCGCGGCACGGAGCGGCCGCGTGGGGCGAGGCGGCGAACGGCTTCCCCTGGCAGGCCTCGCCCGAGGGGCAAAGGGGCCCGGGGGCAGGCGGAGGGGCGCAGGCAGCGGCGGCGGTAGGGAGCCCGGCGGTGCCGGGGGCCGGGCGGCGGCCGCGCGGCGGACGGGCGGTCCGGGCGGCGGGGGCCTGCGGGGCGGCGGCCGCGGGGGCCGCGCTCGAGTGGGCGCCGAGCGGGGCCGGCTGGGGGGGGAGCGGGAGCGCGAGAGCAGCGGCCACAGCAGCGCCTGCGCGAGAGGCGGCGCGAGTCCGCGGCGCGCGCGGGAGCAGCGCGTTGATTGGTCATTCGGCGGTGGGGGGGGCGGATCCCGCCCCGGCCGGGCCGCCCATTGGCTAGGCGGCGCGCGAGCGGCGGGGAAAGGCGTGAGCGCGGCGGGCGGGGGGACTCGGGCCTGGGGGGCGGGGCCGTCCCTCGCGTCCCTCACGCGGATTGGTGGTCGCGGACAGGGGGCGGGGCGCAGGGGCCGCGCGTGAAGGCGGGCGGCGGGCGCTGATTGGCCGCGGGCGGCGGGGGCGGGCGTGCCCGGCCGAGGGTGGAGCGCGGCCGTCCCGGCCCCGCCGCCGCCGCCGCCGCCCCGATGCCGGCGGGCACCGAGCAGCCGGGGGGCGCCGCCGCCGAGCCGCCGCCCGCTCCGGGACCACCGCCCGCCGCAGACAGGCCGCCGGCTTCGGGCCGCCGCCGTCCGCCGCCGCCACCCGCCGCCGAGCAGGGGGAGGAGTCCGGCGGTAGCCGGGTGCTGAGGGGCGGCCGGGAGCGCGGCCGCACCGCTTCGGCCGCGGGGGGAGCCGCCGCCGCCGCCGCATCCCGCCGCCGTAAGGCCGAGTATCCCCGACGCCGGCGGAGCAGCCCCGGGGCGCGGCCCGCCGCCGAGCAGCCCGCCGCCGAGACGCCGCCCGCGGCCAGGAAGGCCCCCCGGGCCGGGTGAGTCCCTGCAGCACCGGGCTCCGCCCGCGCCTTCCGGGGATCGCGGCCGGGGGGCTGCGGGCGACCTCTGCCCGACCCGCGCGAACGGGCACAGGCCCTGGGGCCGTCTCCGGCCGCAGGGTGCCCCGCGCCGCCGCCCCTTTGTTGCGGGCGGGCTGGGCCGGCCCCGCCGGTCCCTTCCCAGGAAGGGCAGTGTCCCGGGAATCGCCGGCTGCGCAGCGCCCTCGGGCAGCGGCCGCTGTCCCGGTGCCCCGCGGCGCCAGCGCGGTCTGGCCCCGTCTGCCAAAGGTCTGGGTGAGGGAGGTGGTGGGATCTACCTTCCCGCGAGGAGATGCTGCATTCGCTGCACCTTCGATCCTGAGCAGGACACCGGAGCCTTTGGAAGTGCAGCTGCTCTGCCGTGTTCTAAGCACAAAATCCCCCTGGGTCGGTCATAACTCTCCTGGGCCTGGCTGGGCCTTTGCTGCTGGATATTCCTATAGTTCCCTTCAGCTTCCTGCAGCTGAAACAATCCATCTTGGCATGAAGGGTTGAAAATAATGATCCCATAGAAAGGCACTGGGGCTCATCTCTACATCATTCAGTTCCTTGTTGCTGCCCCCATCCCATAGAGTCTGGCTCTTACACTTGTTTTTGTGTTTTTTTCAGGTGCGCAGATAAAGTCGCTGGTAAAGGTAAGAGCTGAATTACTCACTCCTGGTGTTGTGTTCCACCTAGAAAGTCTGGGCTATCCCACGGGTTAGCCCAATCCTCCTTGTGGATTTTCCTTTTAAAGAGTATTTTAGTGCTGAGTGATGGGGAGTTTCTTTCCGAGTCTCTCTCAAGACTGTGGAACTGTGATAAGCTGTTGCTGCTGGCACGTGCCCAACCTGCAAAATCTTACTGTCCCAAAAAGCACTTGAGCTTTCCATGGCTGTTGGGAGCATGAGGCTGGGCTGCTCCATAGTTTGACAACTCTTGTTGCACAGCAGTTCCAAGTAGTTGGCAAATCCTGGGTTCACTTCTCTTCTGTGCTCAGAAATATAGGAGTAGATCCTCTAGAGACCTGGGAAAGTTGTGTGGAAATCAGAATATTCAGACATTCACACTAGTTCTTTTCTAGCTTTAGTGCATTATGGATTTTTTTAGGCTGATGTCTTCAGGGGTGGAAGAGAATATTATTCAGAACTGGAGGCGTGAGTAGGGTCAGAACACAAAAGCACAAAAGCCCCAACTGTGAGGATCTGTGAGCTGGAGCAGAACTTTTGTTTTCCAGTGCACACTGTGAATTTTGAGCACCTATTTATCAATTCCTTGTTTTAAAAAAAGAAATAAAACCCAACCTAAAAAGAAAAAAAAAAGTTAGAGGGCTTTTCTCCTCACCTGGTTATGACTTCTGAAACAGGTCCAGGTAAAGGGCTTTGTGTAGTGTTGTTTGTGATCTGGCACCAGAGAATTGTGGCAGAATGAAGCACTGAGGAAAGGAGGTCACACACCTGTGCAGATGAATTCCCCTTTCTCCTGGAGCTGTCCGGGTTTATTTGCCAGCAGTTGTGTCTCGGAGGATGCTGTTATTCTCGTGTTTTGGTAACTCTTTAGTTTTCTTCCTACAAGTCTTTATTCCATTTGGGTGTGGAAATCCATCACAGTTCCAGCTGGCAAGGTGTGTTTTTACAGACTGAAACAGAATTAACCACTGTGTATTGAGCCCAGATCTTGTTTGTGTGTATTTACCCCTCACTGTGTAAAGGGTGGGCAGGGAATGTCAGAGTTTTAGCCTTTTACATCAAAGCAAACTTGCTGAAATGTCTAAAAAAGTTTAGCTTCATAGGGGTATAGAGTTAAGACTTTAATGGTCATGCTTGGGTTTTTTTTTTTTTTTGTTTTTTGTTTTTTTTTGTTTTGTTTGTTTTTTTTGTTTTGTTTGTTTGTTTGTTTGTTTGGGTTTTTTTTGTTTAAAGAGAAATATTTATTAGTAGTGATAGAAAATGGGCAGAATATTCCCATTTTTACCCCAGGAAGTGAAAGTTTTCAGACTGAAATTCCCAGGTTTGGGGGCCCTCTGCACTCGAGCCATTTTAGCCTTTAACTTGGGCTCTGAGAGTTTTGGCTGTGCTTGAAGGTGAGAGTGGAAAAGTGTTTGTTAAACTTCTTTTTTTTTTCCCGATTAGATTTGCAGCCAAAATGATGGTAGGAATAGTTGCGTGGAAATTGGCACTGGGAAGTGCTGACTTCTGGGCCAGAGGAAATCTGTGCTGTGGGGGGCGGGGGTTGTTTGTTTCTGGTTTGTTTTTTAGCACACAGAAGTGAGGAAGCTGCACTCCTGTGTCTTGGCTGCACGCTGGATGGAGCCCTTGTGCACCTTGTGCTGGTTGCAGAGGACCTGGAAACAGGCCGAGGAGTGTCTTCCTTGGACAGGTTGTGCTGGAGCAGGAGAGGGGCTTCTCCCTCCTCCTCCTGTTGGGCTTTAGCAGAAGTTTGTGAAGGAGCCAGACCAGTGTTAGCAAGCAGCAGCTTTCCTTGCACAACATGATTTTTGGTAGCCAGGAGTCCCTTGTGAGTCTGGAAGGCACAATCCCATTTGTCCTTTCACCCTGGATGGAGCTGGGATAAAGTGTTGAGCAGTTCTGGTGCAGGCTTGGAATTCTGTGTTCCCTGATATGGAAGTGATTATTTTTTTTTTTTTGCATTGCAGTATTAGCCTTTACTGTAAACAGCCAAAACCAGTGTGGAATATTCCCTGGGACAGCCATGGTAGAGAGCCATGGGATCAGGCTTCTCCAGGATGCCCTTGGGAGTTCTGGCTGTGCAGGTCTGACGGGGAGTTTAGAGGGAGATGAGAGCTGAAGGTGCGTGTGTGTGTCACAGCCTGAGCGTGACTGTCACCACAGCGGCGTGCACGGGGCCAGCTGCAGTGTCAGCCTGTGTTCCCTGGCTATTCCTTGTCGCCTGCTTAGTCATGCAGTCGCAGGATTTCCCAACTTGTGCCTGTAGGAATATTGGATGCATAAGTAGAACGTTTTAATCTCAGCTTACAAATGAATTCGTGTAGCTACAGTGGCTGTGTAGTAGAATTCACGTCTGGCTTCCCGCAGTGCTCTGTATCCTTGTGGGAATAATTTCCATTTTAGTCAGGAGAGTCACTTCCCTGGAAGCCCATTCTCAAATCCAGGGCTTTTGCTAAGAAAACGGTCAGGTTTGGCAGATTTAAAAAAAGATTGAAAACTTTGACAAGACTCAGGTAGTACCAAATGGATTTGTACAGAGAGGACTCACAATTATACCTAAGAGTTTTAATCTTAATGCTTCATGCTCCTTTTGGGACTGACTGCTTTCCCTTAAGGCTTTGTCAGTGTTTGGAGAGAGAAATGTCATTACTTCAAACCAAACCTTATAAAAATGCACAGAATTTAGATAGCTCAAACTGCCCAAACCCTCCGAGGATTTTCCTGTGTCCCATCTGTACAGTTCCACAGTGCTCTGGTGGGGGAGAGCCCTTTGATGGAGCTTTGCACTTGGATATTTTTCCCGAGTTTCATCTTTGTTCCTGCCATTATAAACCCAGGTGTTTGGTGCCTTATCCGTTGTGTGGTTGCTGCCTTAAATCTCAGAGGTGTGCATATGTTGTGGTGCATTTATTTTTATAACAGCTTTTTAACTTAGCAATTAATAGTTTATTTTCCCTTCACTTAATTGCACACATGTGTTTTCTGGAAGTATTTGCAGGGTCAGTAATGCTTTATAAATCAAAGTTCAGCTCTGTTGAAAAGCAGAGCAGAGCCCAGAGCCTTGTCTTTTGCTTGTCTAAACAAAGCCACAACTTCACTGTGAGTGTCCTTCCAGGTTTCCTTTTCTGTCCGTTGTCCCAGGGACTGGCGTTTGCTCACAATTTATAATCTATTTTTGTGAAGGAAAAAGAGACAAAAATTTATTCCAAATGTAGAACTTCTCATATTTTGGGCAAGGCCTTTAGTGAGTGCTGATTCCAGCTGTTCCTGCAGCTGAACACTTGACAGACAGAAGTTTCCTGGTACAGCCCTGATTCTTGGATAGGGACCAGGGACCGTGTTGGGAGGGTCTAGAATTAGAAGGTTTTTCAGCTCATACCTTTGTATCACTGTGATTTCTGTTTCAAAGTAAATACTTGTTGCATATCCTAGGGATGGGGTTTGGGAGGTACCTGGGTATTCACAGCATGTAAAAATGCCCTTAATCTGTTAGACAGCCATGCTGAAGCAGAGGAAGTAAGAAGGAGAAATCCTGGGAAAAGGCTTATCAAAGACCTTCACTTTAGAGGAAGGAAGCAGAGCTGCTGGGTCAGGGGTGTGCTCTGTCCAGGTGTGTTCTGAGGCAGGTCTGCTTCAGCTCTGTGAGCTTGATTTTTATAATGATAAGTAATCAGCTGAGTGCCTAGTCTTCCAAGGGAATACAGCTTTTCCAAAGCAGCAGTGTGTGCTATCCCTGGCAGCACGATAGTGGTTGAGGGGGGAATTTCTAGAGGATGGTTTCAAGTGTCTTTGAGTTTGATTTAGCATTCAAAAACCTGAGATGTTCACCATAAGGACTGAGAACATGCAGCAGTCACCTTGAGATCTGCTAAAGAAAGCCAAGAAGGTGCAGATCATGCTCTGATGGTGAGGTTTATACATGCAAGACAGCAGCTTGATGGTTTACAACACAATGTGATGCCTCACATCCGGGATTCCAGTCAGACTTTTCCAGCCAAATGTTGCTTATTCCCACCCTGCTAATCAAGGAGCAGACAGTGAGTAATGCAAAGCAAACTACGTGCTAGGAGAAAAAGGATCATTTGGTTCAGAAGGCTTGATGCAAAACTGGAGATTGCAGGCTGGGAGGAATCAGAGAGGCTGTGGATTCCTCATCCCTGGAAGTATCCAAGGCCAGGTTGGACAAGGCTAGGAGCAGCCTGAACTAGTGGAAGGTGTTGCTGCCCATGGCAGATGTTGGAACGAGATAAGATTTAAGGTCCCTTCCAACCCAAACCATTCTGTGATCATCTGTAACATTTGAAAGGACATTGAGTTCCTGAAGGCCCAGTGTCACAGCAAACACCAAAAGGCCAGATCACATTAACTGTGCTTGGGAATTTTAGTTTTTAAGGGATTAACTTGCTCACAAGATATTTCAGCTAGTTCTGTTATCTTGCCAAAGCATGTTTGGAGACCAGCCATGAGCCAAAAGGAAACCACCTGTACAAGCTGTAAATAAGTGTGGAGACCTCAGGCTAACAGCGTTTGTGATGCTTTTTGCTTTAGCACAGCACCAGAAACATCCAGCTCAGATCCCTCAGGGATATTGCCAGGTGTACAGTTCCAGTGAAGTATATGTTTGGGGGATTCTCAAAACATAACTTTGCACATGGCCCAACTTTGAAGCTGGTCTTTCATAAAGCACTTGCTGAGCTTTATGAGTGTCTCTTTTCTTGTGCTTAGAGCCAGCAAATCATCATCTTAGAAGCCTTTATCCAAGGGAAATATAATCTTCTTTTAAATATTAGTGTCTTTCCTTAGGGGCAGTGTGAGGAGAGTTTTGAGGGAAGGTTTGCTGAGGTGAGGGCCTGGGCAGTGTCCTGGTTCAGCAGAGAGGACTGAGCAGATTCCCACAGCAGGCAGGGGCTGCTGTGATTTAAGCTGTGATTTAATGGCGGGATTCAGGCGTTTTCTACTACGATGAAAGAGCCTGCAACGCCTGTTTCAGCTCCCAAAGAAGAGAAGGAAGAGGAGGAAGAGTCGAGTGTGCTCAGCCATGGCTCTCCCACGGGCACGGCCCGGCCCAGCCGGAGCTGGCGCAGCAGCCGGACAGCGGCCGCCACTCGCCAGCGCGACTCCGAGAATTCCCGCACCTCCAGATCCAAGGCCAACTCGCTGCAGCTCATCTGCAAGTCAGAGCCCAATGCTGACCAGCTGGAGTACGGTATGTGGGACACGGAAGGCCTGGGGACTGTCAGGGAGCCAGCTGTGGGTGTCACTCTGGGCGTGTGGCTGGTGCTGGCGTGGTGCTGCTTGTCACGGGTACCTTCTGCCACCAGCACTCCCGGCTCTGAATGTCGACGGAGGTACCGTGAGACAGATGAGCTCACTGCAGCGAACACACTTTGAAACCTAATGGTGACTTTTCCTTTCAGTGGTCACAGAAGAGCATCAGCCTCCAGATGGAGTCAGGTAAGACATGTTATTTTGTGGTAATTCTTCCTAGTCAGTGTCTCGAGGTGGGCCTGAGTTGCTTGAAAATCTTGTGCAAAATGTTCCGTGGGACTGACAGTAGCTCTGTCTCCTTTGGCCCTTCGCCTTTGCAGTTCCAGTGTGCACAGATGTCAGGAGATATTGTGGAGAAATGATAGTAAGATTTAATCTGGGCGTTCCAGCTGGTAGCTTTGTTGCTGTGGGTAGGTGGGTTCAGGACACAGCTCTACCCGGCCTGTTGGGTTGTCACTGTGCCCCTTGGTCAGTGCAAGCTGTTACCTTTCCCCAGTCATGGTGGATGAGGAAGTGTAATAGTGTCCTTCCCGTGCTGGGGATGGTGCACAGATATTCTTGCAGCAGGGGCCAAGCAGTTGCTGCCAAAGTTTCCTCTTTTCTCCCAGCAGTGATGATGATGAGGAGATGCTCATCAGTGAGGAAGAAGTTCCCTTCAAAGATGATCCCAGAGATGAGACCTACAAGCCCCACCTAGAGAAGTATGTTTGGATTATGTACTTACTGGGGATTTAGACCAAAAAAATATGGATATGTACCTGAATTAGCTTAATATGCCCCAAAGCACCTGTGCTAGTTGATCTGGTGGAGTGGTTCTAAACATTACCTGAATTGGCCAGAACTGTTCTTCTTTCAGGAACTGAAGCCTTTAGAGCCTTGCTGGGTGCCTCCCTAAGCCTGGTTCTTACTTCTGCTTGAAAGTGGGACTTGAAGAATATATCTGAACTTGGGTCCAGTTTTTGTTTACATCTTTGCAAACAGCAGGCAGTGAGAAGAGTATTGGAGTAATGTGTTATATTTGTGTCTTTGTAGGGAAGCACCAAAGCAAAGGAGAAAAGCTAGCAAGGGGAAGGAGGAAAAAGAAAGGCAGAAAGAGATTAAAGTGGAAGTGAAAGAAGAGAACGAGTTTCAGGAGGATGAAGAACCACCAAGAAAGTGAGTAAACTCTGCAGCTACACATGCCAGTGTGTACTGTGTGTTTTTCATTCTTGCTGGTGTACAACAGTGTTTGATTGTTGTCTATTCTCCCCATCCCCCTCCTTCTCCTCTTCGCCTGAGAGCTGATGGGGCAGCACTGTTTATCCTGTGCCCTCACATCTTGCCTGTGTTCAGCCACAAAAAAATCAGACTTTAGCTTAAGTGGGGGGGTTTTTCATCATGCTGTGGTTAGCCTCCCTGGGTGTGACCACACAGTGGGAAATACTTCAGGGTGTCCTTACAATGGGTTCCTTGTGATGCCTCCAGTGCATCCTGAAAGCCAGTGGGAGAGGGCAGCATTCCTACTGTGTGCTGGGGGCAGACGCTGGGATATCTTGTCACTGGAATACTTTTGTGTGTGGTAAGTGTCCTTTTTGTACAGCTGGGACCTCACCAGAGCTCAGGAAAATCAGCTGTTTTCCCCTGGCTGTCGAGAAGTAAAACAACAAACTTTTGTCACCCAGTCAGTCGCCAGTGGCCCGGACAGCTTCGGGTGTGCTGTCACTGGAACTCATGGCTGAAGCATTCCTCCTGGCAACAGAGAGAGATTGATTTATGTGACTGTGTTAAAACCATTCTTTGGGATAATGTGAGGGGGAAAAAAAGAAAGCTCGGCTCCTCTCTGAGTGGTTGGAACAGCCCGGGCTCCCTCTGCTGACCTGCTGCACACTGCTGGTGTAATTTCCCTTGCTGTTCTGTGCTGCTGCTGATTCACAGTGTAGAGGAGTGAGGAGGCTGATATTTTGAGAACATCTTTGTCTATTGGAGACTGCTTTATGAGGCTTGAGGTTTTGTTTGAATCAGACACTACTTTTTGTGCATAATCAAACCTATGGTTCTTCTGAGGGCTTGGATTGAATGCTGAGTGTGTGTTCAGCATGTTCCTGGCTTGCCATCAATACAGATGTCTCAGTAGAGTCTAGAAAATACTTCCATCAATCTGCTCCAAGTGTCACTGCAGTAATGGGATCAGGCAGGCAGAGCTGGGCAGAGCTGTGGCTTGGGAGGCTGGAGTTTGTGTGAGCACAGGTCTGCTCAGACAGAGCCTAGATTTTTGTCTTGACGGGTACGGAAGCTGCTGTACCTAATTCAGAGGCCTGTAAAATAGCTGCTGGATCATTAATCCCGTTCTTCCTGATCAGGCAGGTGGATATTTTCCCATGGTGTGGAATGTTCCCCAGCAGAGCAGAGGAAATAGGGTGCACTCTCAGTTCTAGACCGTGTTGGCAAAATTACATGTTTATGAAAAATGCATTCGGAAATGGAAAATATTGAGAGAGCAAACCATGCGAAGCATTTATTTCTCTGGAATTCCCCGTCTTTTGAATCTGTCTCCAACTTGCACTCAGTGTTTTTTCTAGACCGTTTATTTCATGCAGCTAATGAGGCAATGCAGCGTACACTTCAAAGTCTCTGCCCACTGCTGATGCAAAGAAGCTTCTCTCAGTTCTTTCTGTATCCCTGTTACAGGAGGGGAAGGAGGAGAAAGGATGACAAGAGCCCAAGGCTGCCCAAGAGAAGGTAGGTGATCCTCTCAACCCAGTTCTGTTCTGCAGACTTCCTTCCCATGTGTCCTACATGTAGACGTGGATTGTCCCAAAGCCATTTCTATGCTTGAGAGGGAATAAAAAACAAGAATAGCAGCATACCTTGTCTTCTCCTTCTCTTGTAGATGTTGGTTTGATTTCTTCCAAGTGAGCCAGCCTCTTCCCCACTTCTCAGTTGATCCCTCCCATGGCATTGTCCAGCAATAAGACTCTGGGAACTCTGGGTCTCCTGAGGTTTTCCCTGCTCTAGGGAGAGCCCTCAAGTAGTGGCAGGAGAAGAGGTGGCTCTTGGACAGCAACTCTGTCACAGCCCAGGCAGGGGTTTTGGAGCAATCGTGCTTTGCTGTGCTTGCACTTGCTATTTGTGGCATGAGACGCATCAGCCCCTCACAGACACAGAGAATTGTGATTCTAAATAGGATATATATAGAATCTTTATCTATAGAATCACCTGATCATAGAAGCAGCCAAGCACTCTGCCCCTCTCGTTGCTAATTTCCCAGGAAGAAGCCTCCGATCCAGTACGTCCGCTGTGAGATGGAAGGCTGCGGCACGGTCCTGGCTCACCCGCGGTACCTGCAGGTTGGTGGAGGTGTTCACTTCCTCTCTGGCACGTGGGAGGGCAGGGAAGGGGTGCTTGGAACAGGCAACTAAACCTCCACTAGCACTCACACCACTTCCTGATACTGTCATTTTGGAAGATTTCGTTGTGGCTAGTTGTAGCCATGTGTGTGAATGTCTGTCAGGATGCCGGATGTCCGTGTGTGTTTTATTTTCCAGTGGAGATCTAAACTTGAGTGAACCTCAGCTGTTCACTCAGCCATGAACAGTCTGAAAATTTCCATTCTTTCTTTCCAGCATCACATAAAATATCAGCACTTACTGAAGAAAAAATACGTGTGTCCTCATCCCTCCTGCGGTCGACTCTTCCGGCTCCAGAAGCAGCTCCTGCGGCATGCCAAACATCACACAGGTACAGGGGGATGGGAAATAGATACAAACTCCTCTTCAGGACAGTGAACAGACAGGGGGAAAAGGGAAAGCCTCTTGGGACTTCTGGGGAGAGTGAAGCCAAGTCAGGTGGCATAGATTTGCAGCAGCAGCAGGGCATTACTGTCTTCTGGATTACCATCTTTTAAGTAAATGAAAGAAATAGACTATAGAGCTTTTATTCTCCTTCTGGCAGGCATCACTCAGGGGCTCTGTAGAGGAATAAACCTCTAAAGATAAGTCTGATTTATCCCAATTTGCCAGTCTTTCAGTGTTGGTCAGAGTGGATAATTAGCTCTTAGGAGAGTCTTAATCATGCCTCACCTCTCCAGATCAGCAGCTCCTCCCAGAACTTGTAGTTCTGCTCCTTCTTGGGCAGCTTTACCTGCACCCTCTGAGAGTTGGGAAAGGGAGCAGGTCTATGGGAGAGCAATACTGCAACTGCTGTTGTCTTTCAGATCAAAGGGATTACATCTGCGAGTACTGTGCCCGGGCCTTCAAGAGCTCCCACAACTTGGCAGTGCACCGGATGATCCACACGGGCGAGAAGCCCTTGCAGTGAGTAACTCTGCCTGTGCCTTGCCCTCCTGCTCCCCAAAACACCCATTTCAGAGCAGCTCTGAAGTCGGGGCTAGAGCCTTTTCCTGGTGTCCTGACTCTCTTTGAACACGTGCTTGTGTCACCTGCTCCTCGAGGCAGTGTCTTGGTGCGGATCTGGGCAATGTAAGCCCTCAGTAAATAAAATCAGAGCTGGAGCTGCAGTGACATTAGTGAGCCCCTGCTGTTTTCCTAGGCTGCCACCTCACCACTAGTGTCCCTATGAGCGCGTGTGGATGTCCCTTTGTTGTGACATCCTCGTTTTCCCCTCCCAGGTGTGAGATCTGTGGATTCACCTGCCGGCAGAAGGCTTCCCTCAACTGGCACATGAAGAAGCACGATGCAGACTCCTTCTACCAGTTCTCCTGCAATATTTGTGGCAAGAAATTCGAGAAGAAGGACAGCGTCGTGGCCCACAAAGCCAAGAGTCACCCCGAAGTGCTCATTGCTGAAGCACTGGCTGCCAACGCGGGTGCCCTGATCACCAGCACCGATATCCTGGGCACTAATCCCGAGGCCATCGTGCCACCCACAGATGGCCAGGGCCTCCCACTGCTCCCTGACCCCCTGGGCAGTGCTCCCCCAGCAGATTGCCTGCTGCTGAGCTCAGAGGGAATGCCAAAGCCCTACTGTGGCGGGGCAGAGCGCGTGAGCCTGGTGGCTGACGGCAAGCTCTTCGTGGGCAGCGGCAGCAGCGCGAACCCAGAGGGGCTGGTCATGAACACAGAGATGCTGGAAGCCAGCACAGAGGTGCTCATTGAAGATTCAGACTCCACTGGGCCCTAGTGGCAGGGGAGCACCTGGGTGCTGGGACAGTTGGGACTCTGTATTTAAAAGGAAAAGGAAAAAAAAAAAGGAGGAGGCACTTACTGAAAGAGAGGAAAGTTAAACAAAACTTACAATACTAGTAAATAACTGAAGGGTCTGCTCCCCTCCAGTGCGGATCACAGCACATCCTCTTTCTCCCAACCACTTCTCTCTCTCTCCCACGGCCCCTTGGTGGAAAGGGGCATGTGCTGCCATTGCCAGAGCAAGTTGGATTGAGCGGTGGATTTCTCCAAGGGAGGGGGCACTGCCGAAACCCTTCACTCTACCCCAGAGCAGTTGCCTTTCTGGCTCCTTGGCGTGGCCCCGCTGGCAAGATAAAAAGTGTTGGATGTGTTCTGGAGAAGTTCCTTAGGACTCCCTCTGCCCCTGGTCCCGACTTCTATGCACCACTGCACTCTGGTCCTTGCAGTCTCCTCCTTCCTTGCCGGGGCTGGGAGTTTGGCACTTTAGCCCCTCGGCAGGGTGAGCTGTGAAGCAGCAGTGCACGTCCCGCTCCCACCGCGCTCCCCTGCTCCAGCCCTGGCAGGGAGTGGAGGGAGGGAACGCCCTGGCTCATAGATCATGTTTGCTTGGAGAGGCCCGGGGGCTACAGGAGCCCTGCGTGGGAGAGGCAAGGAGGAGCATCCCAGTTTGACGACAGTAATTTGCACTTTGAACATGCTTCGTTTTTGTGTTGTGGTAACAAGATTCCTTATTTATTGTTTAAAAAAGGGTCGGTATTTTTTAGTTCTGTTCTTAGGGGGCGGGGGTGGAAGGGGTTGTTCAGGCTGTTTCCCAGGAGGCTCCAGTGCAGGGGAGCTCCAGTGCCATCGTGCCGGCGGCTGGGAGAGCCGAGGTGAAGGCAGCGCTCTGGAGTCAGATGTGTCTCGCAGCTTTTCCAGAGTAGAGGGAGAGCCCCTGGAGAAGAGCCTGTGTGCAGTGGGAGTCTCTGCAGCAGCGTGTTAGCAGGAGGATGAGGTGAGTGATGGGCTGTCTCTCCCTCCCTCCCAGCTCCGGGTGAGCTTCTTGCATTAAAGGCCTATTTTGCCTCCAGCCTTTCGGGGAAGGACGTTGTTAGCCAGGAACTTGTTCTTGTGACTCGGGACAGCCGTGAGCTACTTGCTGCTGGGGGATGTGGTGCTCCTCATCCAACTCTGCCTCTCCTTTCCAGGTCTAGACAAAGACGCAGCAGGGACTGGATATGGTTTTCTCAGGCTTGTTTATCCAAGGCAATAGATTGATGTGGGACTAAGGGGCTGTCAGCATTTCTCCCTGCCCTCATTTTGGGGGGGATTGTGTAGCTGTGTTCTGAAAGCTTTTCTTTTCTGCACAGACACTCCAGCTTTCCCTGAAGTGTGATGGGTCAGGTGTTGCCTGCTGGTGTAGTTAGGGCAGCTTTGAGCCCTTGGAAAAGTTTACATAGGATAAGATGTGTCTGCTATGGAGACTTGGATTTTTTTTTTGCTCTTTCTGAAACTTTGTATGGAGATTCAGTGGCCTTGAATTCGTAGCGGTTTTGGAAGAGGTGAAGAATAACCTGTTTTTTTGTTTGTTTGCTTGTTTTTTTGGTTGGGTTTCTGGGTTGGGAGCAGAGCTGAAGTATCTTGTCTGAGCACAAGATAGCTGAGTTGGTCTGTAGCACACAGCAGCTTGATGAAATCGGGTACCTGGGGTCTGGAAAACCGCAATAAAACATGAAATTTAATTGGATTAACAGGAAACTGACTCTGAACACCCACTCTGTCCCCTGTGATGCCTGGAAATGCAGCTGTGGCTCAAACATGCTGGCTTTTCTCAGGCTGCTTGTCCTTGTTTGCCCCCTGTCTCCCTCCTCCCTCCCCCCTTACACTGATACCTTTGTCAGAGCAAGTCGAAGCACTTCCTGGTGTTGGGGCGGATCGAGGCTGAGCTGTTGGGTGTCCCGTGCCCTGGGTGTGGGCATCCCACGTCCTTACGCTGTGGCAGCAGCCTGGCTCACGTGGAGGCCCTGCACGCCTGGTGGCAGGTCCGTGGTGGAATGGTGTTAAAACTAAACCAGTTCCTTCGGTTGACATGATCCAGTGTCTTTCTTGGATTGCTTTACTGTGGTTTCCAGCAGGAAACTTTCTGGGTGGCAGCTGGTCCCCTCCCCTTGCAGGCTAGAGAGGGGCAGCACACTGAGGCCAGCAGTTAGCCCAGCTCTGATGGTTTCACCCGCGGCAGTGTCTGGCTTCTCTCTGGGGACACGTGGTGGCCCTCAGGGCAGGTTGGCTGTGTCCTTCTGACATGGTGCTGCTGGAGCTGAGTCTGTGCCAGCCCCTGTACCTGTGGGAGGTGTGGGGTGGGCAGAGCCTTGCACAGAACACTAAAGGAGAGCTCGGGGGTTTGTTGGTCGAGGGATGGCACTGAAAGGCCTTTGGGCCAAGGGCTTGCTCACCTCTGGTGACCCAGCACTTGGCACCGGGCTGGGGGAGGCTTTCTCGTCCCACGTCCGCCCCAGTGGAGCAGGGTTCACCCCTGGCTGCACTTCTGGGCTGCAAAATCAAACACTTCTGATGCCTGCCGCTCCCTGCCTTGTCCTTCCATGACACCTCTTGTAGCTCTCCCTTTTCATTTTCTGGCCGTGGCCAGGTGCCTGTCTGTCCTCTAACCACAGCCTGCTTGCCCCTGATGCAGGAGATGTGTAGCTCCCTTCCCACGCCCCTCTGAAGCCCTAAAACTGACACAGCCCTCCTGCAGCTCCTCCTCTCCTCGATGTCCCTCCTTCACTCGCATGCAGTTTGCTTCAATAAATTATTGTAGTAGTTTGCAATAAACTTTTTTGTATTTTTTTCCCCTGTATTTATTTTTTTTCTCCTCCTGGGGAGGGATTGGAGGGGGCACGAGGTCCTTTGGCACGGGTAGCACTTTGGGGGCTCTTGGCCACCGGGCTGGGGGCTGCTGTGGCCAGGGGCTCCCCAAGCTCAGCAGCTTCTGCAGTAGCCACAGGGGGGCAAGGAGGCTGCTGGGCATATGGGGACCCCCCAGCCAGGAACACTGTGGTATTCATGGGAAGCTGCTTTTCAACTCCTGGGGTTTTTCTCACTCTTGATCTGGGTAATGCATAACTAAAATAAACATACTGAGGAAAAACCAACCCAACCCGAAGGGCTGTTTTTGTCTTGGTGCATGCAGCTCACCTGTGGGGTGGCCGGTGTTGTCCTGGGCTGGCTGGGTTACCTTTCCCTATCTGCGGCCCCTGTTTAGGGCAGGACCCCTCTGGGAATGGGGGGTTAGAAGCATCTGGCACAGATCCCTCTGCCAGGGTTGCAGTTTGGTTTGGGGCTGCTATGGGATCTCCAGCCTGGGGGCTGCCCTCGAGCATTGCCTGGTCGTGCTCAGGCTCCAGCCGGCTGCCCGGGCTGAGGTGTTGAGCAATGTCCGGGCTTTGCTCACCTCTTCCCGGCAGAGGTTTCCCGCGCTCTGGAATGAGCTTAGCGTGCTGCTAATCTCACTGTGTGGCTGGGAGGGAGGAGTGGGTCAGCCAGGGCTGGGAGCCTGTTGCTGCCGGGCCAGACAGTTCTGGGCAAGGCACTTGGAGTAGCGATGCGTGGGGGAATTAGGAAAATAATCTGTCGCTGTTGATCCCAGAGGCGGGAATTTGCAGCGTGGTGCCAGGCCCCAGGCACGGAAGAGGGGGAGAGCCAGGCCAGCGGACGTGTGAGCGGAGCTCCCGGCTGGAATGCACCAGCTCAGCAAGGGATTGTCCTCGCCGGGCCGGGCGGGTGCTGCGGCCGGAGCCTGGTGGCCGTGACAGCTGCCCGGAGCATGGCGGCCGCAGAGAGCCCCTCCGCTGCCCTCCGGCGCCGCGACCTCTGCAGCCGCGGCATCCGCCTGGCCGGCAAGATGCGCGCGGATGTCGTTGACCTCCTGGACGCCTACGTGAGTTTGCCCTGCTCCTTCTGGGAGCGCTGCTGGGATCTGGGGTGCGAGGACTCCGACCCGTGGCAGGGATGGGGCACGGAGCCCTGATGGATGTGGGCCTGCCGACACCCGGGCAAGACTCGGGTGGCTCGCACGGCCCCAACACCTGCAGGGCTCAGTGCTGGGGATTCCCCCACGCTTGTCCTGCCCCCGCTGATCCCCGGCGGGTCTCACCCTGCAGGTGGAGCAGCAGGGCTTGGACGCCTCGGCCAGCGTGGCGGCAGTGGAGGGGGTGCCGCTGGCAGCAGTGGAGCGCTGGGACGAGCAGACGGGCACGCAGCGGCTGCTGGAGAACCTGGCGGCCTACCGGGCCTTCCGCGCCCTGCTGGCCCAGATGCTGGAGGAGCAGCGGGAGCAGCTGGGCGAGGCGGACGCGGGCCTGGGCCGGGCGCTGGCGGCCGTCCTGCTCCAGGTCTCGGCCTTCGCCTACCACCTCGAGGAGCTGCTGCGGCTGGAGAGCCGCGGGATCCCCGGCGAGGAGGGGGACGGGCCGCCGCCCCCGCCGCGCCTCAGCCTGTTCGAGCAGAAGCTGCGGGGCCTGGGGGTGCTGCGGGAGCTGGCCCAGTGGGCCGTGAGGTCCGTGCGGGACCTGCGGCAGCTCGCCAAGCCCAGCCCGGCCACCGGCACGGCCCCCGGCCTGGCCGAGAGCCCGTGAAGGCGAGCACGGGTGGGGGGGTCTTGGGTGCCTCTGGGGCTCCTTGCCCACCCTCTCAGGCTGAGAGCGAGGGAGGGGATGTGGAGGGGAGGGACCATGTCATTAATGCCCGTGCTTTTAGTGCTGCTCCCCGTGGGGAAACTGAGGCACAGACTGCAGTCTGTCCATCCTCAGGGGTCCTTGGGCTCTTCCTGCTGGGCAGCTGAATTATCCCCGAGGAAGCAGCTTTGCTGCTCGCCCCAAGGCCTAGAGGTGTGACCAGCGTTACTGCCCTTGATCTTTGGAATTTGGACACTGCCTATGGCAGGCAGATGCTGCCTTGGGGCTCTTGTGGATGCAGGGCAGGAGCGAAGGGACAGAAAAGCATCACCTGGTGAAAGGAGTCTTGGGACCTGCCCCCCAGCTGCAAGGCACAATGCTTGGCTTCCTGCACGTGGACTTTCCTTCTGCCCAGCTCGGCTGGCTGCTCATTGAATTTCTGCTCTAATTGCTTGGGGGCTTTTTGGAGGGGGGGGGGAGCAATCAGGAGGGGCATTCTTAACTGCTTGGACATGATAATGGAGAGGATTTTTTAACTGAAAGTGGATCTTTTAGCTGTGATTCAGAAGCCCTTCTGCAAGGAGGTTAGTGCCTACAGGGCTTATTTTAGGACTGGGAATGGCATGGGAGAATCTAACAGCCCCATCCACATCGTTCACCCTGTGGAGTGCTGAGATGTTTCACAGCTTCCTGGGCCGTGGTTCTCCTGCTGACTGGATGTGATGGCTGCTGGCTGCTGAGTGAATAAAAGGGCTGGGAGATCTTCCAGGGTGATGTACTTCTTGGGGGAGCTGGAGGAGTCAGCCTCACCAGAGAGCCCGGGCTGCCCAGTTCCCACTCCAGGAAAGGGCCCATCCCAGTGGGGTGAAAAGTTTGGGGGGATGCGACCCACTGGGAGGTCATGGGGAAGATGAAGGAGATGGTGGGAGGATGAGGAGGAGGTGATGGGTTACAGGGGCTGTGCCCTGTCCTGGTGAGGCACTGCCTTCTTCCCTGTGAGAGGACAGGCAGCATGGGGGGAGACAGGGCCACAGAGCAGGGAGGAGGTTGGGGACGTGCCCGGCTGGCTCTGCACAAAGCGGCTTTGTGGGGCAGGTTGGGACAGCAGCGGGCACAGCGCCTGCCCCAGCACCAGCAGTGTCTGCACAGGCACGGGGTCTCTGGGAGCACAAAGAGCAGCCCAAACCTGAGCCCCTAGTGCCATCCTGCCCGCCCCACTGACCACACCGGGCCGCAGGGCTGGGGCAAGGGTGGTTTGATGGGGTCTGGTTTTTTATGGGTGATGCCTGAGAGGAAGAACGTGCACCTTCTTCATCACCACTTACTGCCTGCCCTCAGCTTTGCAGCTCAGACTGGATTATTTCAATCTTTATGCTTCCCTGCACTCTGGAATAACAATTTCTGGCCTTTTTTTTTTTTTTCAGGATTAATCAAAGCAAGTCCCTTTTCTGACAAGTATTTTTCTTGCCCACTGCTGTGTGCTTGAAGCCACCTTGCTCTTCTCCCCTTGCACCCTCCAGCTCAGCAGTGGCCGGGTGCTCGCACCCTCCTCACCTTCCCGGGGGTGGGCAGGGACATCTGGAGCATGTCCTTGAACCTCACCAGCCGATCAGGTGGGAACAGACCTCTTTTCTCCGGCAGCACAGGCCGGGTAGGAGGTGACCTTCAGATCCGGGGAGCCGGCCAAGGCTGCAACCCGATCCTCCCACATCAGCTGCTGGCAGAGAGCTGAGCTCGGTGCTGCACTTCAACTCCAGGGTGAAAGCAGCAACGGAGACCCAAGGTGGACGATGGTGTTGCCCCAGGGATATCCCTGGCCTTTTGCAACCTTCTTTACTTCTTCCCTGTTACCTTGCCAGCTGGGTGCGCCTGCATTTGTGGAGCACCACGCTCGGGAATGGCCACCCTGACCAGAAACAATGGGAAAAAGCACTCCATTAATCCAAACCTCCATGCTTTGGCTGAGCAAGAGGCTCCAGCTCCCAGCCTTTCCCTGCCAGCCAGCCCCCACCATGCCGTGCAGAGGCGGTGACGTCTGAGCTGGCTGGGATTTAATGCTATTTTTCAGCTGCAGCCCTGAGGGAATCACCAGTGAAGTGATTTGGCAGGGACAGGGGCGCCCGACAGCTGAGCTCCTGTGGTGCCAGGAGGCCCTTGGATTTGCTTTGCCACGGATTCAAGTGAAGTTGATCTGAATGGCTGAAGGCAAATGAAGCTGTTCACTTTGGAATCAGAAATTAGGAGTTTGAGGGGAGGACAGTTGTACCCATGTAGCTGATGCTGCTGAGGACCCGTGCAATGGCCTCCTGCAAACTGAGAACCCACCAAAACCATCCAACTTTGTGCTTTGGGAAGAGAGAAGAGATTTGCAGTGCTGGTGGGAACTGGGAAGTGGAGGCGGGGCGGGGGGGGGGGGGGAGAGGGAGGGCTGCATTCCCGAATTGCAGCAGGGATGGAGCCACCAAAAGGAACACATGGACGTATTTAATTTTAAAATAATAAATGTTTTTAGGATTTAACGTGTGGCTGGGCTTTGTGGGGTTGGGAAGGATTTGAGCTGATTGAGGCTGCTCCCTGACCTCAGGCCTTGGTGCTGGGTGGGAATGGATTTGCTCCTTGCCCACAGGGCACCAGAGGCTGGTGGGATTCAGCTGTGCTGGTCCCACGGCTTCACCCACAGTCCCATGCCAGCACTGCAGTGCTGGCTTCTGACTTCTTGATCCTGAGCTGGAGCCGGGGTGGGTGGATGTTCACCAACACTTTCCTTTTTTAATAGCAGGAAAGCCTTTTCCTCCTGTCTGAGTCAGTGGAAAGGATTTCCCTGGGTTTCCCCGTCGTAGCCTTGGCTGCACTTGTTTGCCTCAAAGGAGCAGGTGAAAACCCAGAGGAGTGGCTCTCTGTGGCTGTGCTGCTTTCCTAGGAAGGGCCAGGGGCCCTCCCTTCTTGCAGGAAAATGTGCCTCAAGTGTAGCCCCGCGTGTCTCTCCAAGTGTGAGCTGGAAAAAGGAGAACTTTTGTGGTTCACCTCATCCTCTCTCACCACAGTGCCCGCCAGCTGGCATCACCGCAGTTAGTCCCCACCTGTTCATTCCTCTTTTTTCTTCCCTTTGCTTTTTTCCTCTCTTTTGGATCTTATCTAATGGTTTCTCACCACAAGCCCCACTGGCAGGCACTCAGCAGGATGGGCAGTGCCTGGGAAACAGGTTTGTCAGGAGAGGAGCTTTACCACCTGCCTGGGGATGAGTTACCTCCAAGCCGAGGTGGACCATGGACTGGGGGATTTCTTCTGCTGCCAAACCTGGGACACAGGGGCAATTTGTACAGTTCTCCCAAACCAGGGAAGTCCAGGTGTTTAATATACAAGGAAATCAGTGTTAGGTGTGTCTGAGCATAGGAGCACAAAAGGAGGTGAGACCAGTCTGTCACCAATATCCTGCCATTCAGGGCTGCTCTGGGAAGCTGCTTATGGGGAAGAACAAGCTAAGGAATGTTTTTCTGGCCTGCAGGGAAGGGCCAGCATTGGCTGGGTTGCCATAGCACAGGGGTGCCCTTGTCACAGCAGGGGCAGCCAGGCAGGCAGCTGGGAGAGCTGGGGTGCAAGAGCAGAGGTTACAGCCCACGTGCCCCTCAGACATGAGGCAATCTTGGGCTTTGAAACCATTTTTGTGTGTCATGGGCCACAGTCAAGGGCAGCTCAGGAGGCTGCTTCCTGAAGAAGCTCTTGGAGCACATTTCTCTTGGAGCAGTGTCCCTGTGACCCACCAGCACCCTGAGTCCCATGGCTGGCACAGGGACTGGGGGGTCCCCACAAGGATAGGTGTGCACCTGGTTAGGGGTACGGGGGGCTGCAGGGTGGGGGTACAGCGACATTGGGAGGGAGGAGTCCCAGGAGGCAGGGTGGGAGTACAGGGGTTGCGGGGACAGTGGGGACACGGGGTGCAGGACAAGGATACGGGGACAGCGGAAGGTGCGGGGGTGCAGCACGGGGCTCCAGGGACAGTGGCGGGGATGGGTCCCTCGCCCCCCGCGGGTCGCTCGGTGCCGGCGGGGCGGGGCGCGGTGACGTGGCGCGGTCCCGCCCCCGGCCCGGGGCGCTCGGTGCGGGCGGAGGGGCCGGGAGCGGCGCCGCGGGTGCGCGCAGGGGCGAGGGGCGGCCCGGCCGTGCGCGGCTCCGGCCCCGGGCGGGGGCGGGCAGAGCCCTGCGCCGCGCCGAGCATGCGAGAGCCGCCGGGGCGGGCGGCAGCGGCGCAGCCAGCCGGGGCCGCGGCCGGGGCGGCGGAGCCATGCTGCTGGCCTCGGCCGTGGTGGTGTGGGAATGGCTGAACGAGCACGGGCGCTGGCGGCCCTACAGCCCGGCCGTCAGCCACCACATCGAGGCGGTGGCCCGCGCCGGGCCGCGGGCGGGCGGCAGCGTGGTGCTGGGCCAGGCCGACAGCCGCCTGGCGCCCTACATCATCGACCTGCAGTCCATGCACCAGTTCCGCCAGGACACCGGTGAGTCGGCCCCGCCGCCCGCGCCCGCCCCGCGGCCCGGCCGTGCCCGGCGCTCCCGCTCCGGGGCCGTGCGGGGCTGCACCGAGCGCCGCCGCCGGGCCCCGCCGTACCCGGTCCCGCACCGCCCGGTGTCCTCCCACCTGATCCCCAGCCCTGCCCTCGCTGCCCAGTCCTGCCCACGCATCCCTGGTCCCCCCCCGCCGCCGGGGTCGTGCTGCCCGCCCTCCTCGCTGCTGCAGCGCCCCGGGCCCTGTTGCACCCAGCCCGTGGCCTTTCCTTCTCTCGTGAGGAGACCCCGTCTTCTGCACACCCTTCTCAGGGCCGTGCCTGGCTCCCTCCGTGCTGGCTCTGAGCCTCCATCGACCTGGAGCTGAATGGCGCTCGGGTGACAGATCCTGTCCTGGGGGATGGCAGCCCCAGGGCAGGGACACGAGCAGGTGGACGGATGCTCAGGTGGGTGGGTCCCCAGTGATGAGGTTGCCTGTTCCCCACCTCCTGGTGTTGTTTGGGATGTGAAGCATAAGCACCCATGGCAGGGCATTGGCATGGGGGGTTGTGACCCCCAGCACCCCCGTGATGGCCAGAGTGCTTCGTCCCTGGGGTGCAGCAGAGACCAGACACCCCTCCTTTGTCCCTTTCCCCAGCAGCCCTGGGGGCTGGCGGCGACCCTCCCTTGCCCGTGGGTGTGGGGACAAGGGACCTCTGCGAGCAGGGTGGCTGGGGGCCAGCTTCTGAGGGCTATTGTTGCCCAGGGTGGAGGACTGAAAGGGAGATTGTTCTGTCTCTCCCTGGGTTGCTGGGGATGTTGGTATTTTGGGTCATTAAACAGCTCTGATTTGGGGGGGTCGCGACCCTGGCAGGCCCTGAATAGCTATTGTTCCCTTTCTTCCCCTGTTGAATGGGAGGCCGGCTGGCGGCGCGGGGCTGGGGGAACACACAGCATTCCCACACTGCTGCCTGGGGACCGCCAGATGCCGCATGCTGCCGCCGGATTAGGATAAATCACTGCCCCACTCCCCTCGGCTTTTCTGCCCCGGCTGCCCCTTGGCAGGACAGGGTGGCTTGGCTTGGCTGAGGTGTAGCTGCACCCCATGCCCCTTTAGCAGAGTGCTGATAAACACCTTTTCCTTCTGATCCCACTCGTGTCCCTGCGGGACCTGCGGTGGCGGCTGCTCTCCGCGGATAGGTGGGGGTGAGAAGGGACTGAAATTCTTGGAGGCTTTGCAGGACACGTGGTGAAAAGCCGAAGCAGCAGACTTGTTATTGCTTCTCTTTGAGTGCTTTCTTGTTCCTCACGTTGGGCTGAGCCATGGGGATCTGCAGAAGGACCTGGGGGCAGTGGTGCTTGTCCCACCTGTTAGCAGACACCTCTGGGCATTAGGATGGGACCCCAGTACCAAGCCCAGCCGGGCACAGCCAGCCTCGCCCTGCCGTGAGACATCCCAAAGAAGAAGGCTTTCTCTCACTGTAGGAATTCCAAAATTTGTGTCCATGCTTCGAATGCATCCTAGTTGATCAGGAGTGGTGGGAAAGGAAACGCCTAGCCAAAATAAGGATGCAAGGCACAAAGCCTTGGTGCTTTGTGTTCTCATCCCACTCCTAATGTTTGCTGATGGGGCAGCGGGAGCTGGGCACAGGGCCCCACTCAGACTCCTTAGCTTGGTCTCACAGGGATTTTCCCTGTGCCACAGTTGGGGTTTTCATTGCAGGCTGGCTTGGCAGCTGCAGATGGTGGGGCTGGCACGAACCCTGCTCCCCTGCATGAGTGAAGGCCTCTGTGTGTCACTGCTGGGGGCTTGGAGCTGCCCCTCAAATCTTCTATTCACCTGTTCCAGCCCAGAGCTGGGAGGGAGACAAGCACTGCAGGACGCGGGTGTCCTAATGCCTGGTTTCATCAGGCGCCCAGGGGAAGTCCCTGGGAGCAGGCTGGAGCAGCCAAACTTGTGGTTCTGTGTTTCCCCATCAGGGCTTAGTGGCTCCATGCTGGGCCTGTGGGCCACTGGGAGTGAAATCTGCCCTTCCCTTCAGCTCAATTGCACTGGGGGTGCACCCCCAGGCTGTGGGGAAACCGAGGCACAACAGTCCCGTGTGGCAGGGTGGGGACAGCAGCAAAGCAGGAAAGCCTTGCTGTCCCCGCGTGGAACGGCACCGGCGGGGCAGGTTGGGGTGGTTCTGCTGCCTGCCCACGGGTGGGTGCTGGCGTCAGGGTCTGACTTCATCTGTCACCCTCCCTCAGGCACCATCCGTCCCGTCCGGCGCAGCTACTATGACCCATCCTCGGCACCGGGCAAGGGAGTCGTCTGGGAGTGGGAGAATGACAGCGGGACGTGGACGCCCTACGACATGGATGTGGGCATCACCATCCAGCGCGCCTACGAGAAGCAGCACCCCTGGGTGGACCTGAGCGCCATCGGCTTCTGCTACGTCATTGACTTCGCCACCATGGGCCAGATCAACCGGCAGACCCAGCGCAAACGGCGCGTCCGCCGCCGCCTCGACATGGTCTACCCGCTGGTGTCGGGCACCCTGCCCAAGTCGCAGTCGTGGCCAGCCAGCCCCGGGGCAGCGGCGGCCCCGCCGGTGCCCGCCTGCACCTGTCCCCAGTGCCTGCTGGTCATGAGCGTCAAAGCGGCCGCTGGCCCCGGCACCTCCACCCTGCAGCCCCGCAAAGCCGCCCCTGCGCCGCCGGCCGCCCCCAAGCCCCCGCTGCCCGCGGCGGGGCCGAAGGCACCGGACGGCGTGGCTGTGGCACGCGGCTCGCTGAAGCCGCTGGCGGCGCAGGGGGGCCGGAGGCAGGCGGCCAGCACGCCTGCCCTGAGCTCAGCCGGTGCTTCCAGCAGCCCCCCCGGCGTGGGCAGCAGCAAAGGCTCCCGGCCCAGCCTCGGCACCCTGAACCGCAGCCACCTGCAGCGCCTGGCCATCGCCCAGTCCCGCGTGCTCATCGCCTCCGGGTGAGTCCCACGGGGTGCTTGTGCTTAGAGAGGGACAGCACAGAGTTCTCCCCCTCCCCAGGGCACAGAGGGGCTGCAGCCCCCACTGCAGGACTCTGTCAACCCTGAGCTCGGTGGTCCCCAGCCTCCCGTGCAGGGTGGTAGGTTCTGCTGGGCCCCTCGCCTTCCCTGCAGGTGCCTGGGGACCAGAGCAGGGATGGGGTGGCTCCTGCATCTCAATGAAGAGGCTGAGGTTGCTCTTTCTCTTGGAGTCAGGGGTTGGGTGGGGGACTGCGAAAGGCCCAAAGAAAAAGCCATTCAGGCCCCATGAGAAGGGGTCCCTCCAGACCCCCACCCTCCAAAGACATCTTTTTGTGATGGGGTGGACATTTAATGGGCCTGTTTCTCCCCTTTGTCTGGCTCTGCCATCAGCCTTCTGTCGCAGCCTGGCCCCTTTCCTCTCTCCCTCTTCATCCTCCCCCTTCCCTCTGCTCCTGACCTGCCGGGAAACTTTCCCATGGAAGAGAGCCCCAAGGGGAGGGGGGGAAAGAGCTGTGGCAGTGACGTGGCCGTAGGAGAAAAGAGGAAAAGAAACAACAGACTGGCCCGGGGAGCTGTGACAAAAAGGGGCCATGAATGGAGATGCAGTCAGGGTTTCTAAAGCGCCAGAGAAAAGGCGGTGGTGGGGCAGGGAGGGGCACATTGCCCCATCGGGGGATTCTCTGTTTCCAGCCAGGGCCTGTGCAGTTGCTCAGGCAACTGTGGTGTAGCCCCTGGGCCCATGTGGGGATGTGGGTGCCTCCTGACATGGTCTCTGCTGACTCCCCTCAGGGTCCCCACCGTCCCTGTGAAGAACCTCACTGGCTCCAGCCCCGTCAACCCAGCCCTGGCAGGTGAGGATGGGGCCTCAGTGGGTGCTGCTTCCCCCAGAGTGGGGGGGACAGACAAGCTCCAGTGGGGTGGATTTTGGAAAGCATCTGGGGTTCGATGTGTCGCTGGTTTTCCTCAGTGCCATTTGTTACCTCCTTTTGCAGGGATCACGGGGATCCTCATGAGCGCGGCCGGGCTGCCCGTGTGCCTGACCCGCGCCCCCAAACCCATCCTGCACCCCCCGCCCGTCAGCAAGAGCGAGATCCAGTCCATCCCCGGCATCTCCCACTCCTGCCGCAAGACCACCAAGAAACAGGCCAAGAAGGGAGACGGTCCCTCCTGCCCTTCCTGGTTCCTCTGTGCCCCCCATCCCTTCTGCTCCCCTGGCAGTGGGTTTCTCCCATCCTTTGACTCTCACTCTCCCACAGGTAAAACCCCGGAGGAGGTGCTGAAGAAATACCTGCAGAAGGTGCGGCATCCGCCGGATGAGGTGCGAGCGGCAGGGCTGTGCCAGGGTGTCCTGTGGGGCTGTGCCTGGGATGAGCTTTGCCCCGGGATGAGCAGGGCACATGCAGTGCCACGTGCAGGAATATCCCGCTGCCCTGTGTGGCTCTGCCCTGTCCCCAAAGAGGGGCTGTGTGCTGCATGAACAGCACCTGCAGGGTGGCAGCCCGGCCCAGGGCTGGGTGCTGGTCCCTGGGTGAGAGCAGGGTAGCCCTGCAGCACCCATCCCTCTGATCCCTGTCCTTCCCTCTGGCACAGGACTGCACCATCTGCATGGAGCGGCTCTCTGCCCCCTCTGGCTACAAAGGGCCCCAGCCAGCCGTCAAACCTGACCTCGTGGGGAAGCTGGTCAAGTGCAGCCACGTCTTCCACCTCCACTGCCTGGTGGCCATGTACAACAACGGCAACAAGGTGAGAGGGACCTCCAGCTCAGGCACCTCTGCTGAGCTCCATGAGCTCTCCATGGGACAGAGCTCCAGCCTGGCTGCCCTGGAGAACTCTAAGATCCCACCCTGACTCAGAGTTTCATTTTTAGCAGCAGCAAGCACTTGGGGACTGCTAAATTAGAACTCAGGGTTGTGTGGGTGTGTTTCCCCCACTGTGCCCGGTTTTATGCATTTGTTTTCCTTGCCAGGGTGGACTTTGATCCCTGCATGTTTGAGCAGAGCTACCTGGAATTTGGTGCCAGGCAGTGCTTCTCCAGCCATGGGAGGGTTTTTGCAAATACCCCTCATGCTTGACATTCCTTGGAAAATGCATTGTTTGGAGATTTTCAATATTTATTGTATTTCCCTCTTGGAAAGAACAAAGCAAAACAAACTACCAATTCAGAGCTAGGAAAGCAGTGAGGACTGGAAAACTGATGGGGAAGAGAAATGCAGACCTCAGGTTTTTGGTTTTGGATAGTGAATTCTTCTGGCCCTGTCCCAGGTTCCTGAGAGTTTTTGAAATGATGTTTTTCCGGATTAAAACAGCGTTCAGTGCTGCTCAAGGTCTCAGTGCCTGGCATGGCTTGGTGCTGGAGATACTGGTTTCACTGTGTCCCCCTTTTTCCTCAGGATGGGAGTCTGCAGTGTCCCACCTGCAAAACCATCTATGGGGTGAAGACAGGGACACAGCCTCCTGGGAAGATGGAATATCACATCATCCCCCACGCACTGCCCGGCCACGCCGACTGCAAAACCATCCGCATCATCTACAACATCCCCCCGGGGGTGCAGGTGGGTCTGGGGGGGCCACCTGGGGGGGCTGGCGGCCCTTGTCACTGCTGTATGACCCCCAGGTCCTGCTGCAGCTCGTGCCTTGACTCAGGAGCTGCTTGTCCATAAGATGTTGTGGGAAGTCTGGGCTGTGTGTGCATGAAAGTGTTGCCCCTGTCTGCTTGGTGGCGGGGGATGATGGCCATTAGTGCCCACCAAGGCTTGGGGCGCTGCTCTGTGCCCAGAGCTTCTTTTTGAGCTCCAAAAGGGTTTTCTTCTCACACTTCCTACATCGCAGGGACCAGAGCATCCAAACCCTGGGAAGAGCTTCACGGCCCGTGGCTTCCCCCGGCACTGCTACCTGCCAGACAGCGAGAAGGGCAGGAAGGTGAGCTGGCCGAGGCGTGCCAGGGTGGGAAAAGCAAACATGGCTTAAGCAGGGGAATGTGGGTGGAGGTTTTCCCCACAGCCCATCCAGCAGGCTCTGCAGGAGCCCTGTGACCTTTCCACGCAGGTTCAGAGTGGTCACTCTGTTTTGGCTGGGGCAGGAGGCTGTGCTGGGATGCTCTAGGATGTATGGGCTGCCCATGTTGCCGTGCTTGCTTTGCTGCCTGCCCCATTCCTGGCCTCCACAGGTACTGAAGTTGTTGCTGGTGGCCTGGGACCGGCGCCTGATCTTTGCCATTGGAACCTCCAGCACCACGGGCGAGTCGGACACGGTGATCTGGAATGAGATCCACCACAAGACAGAGTTTGGCTCCAACCTCACTGGCCATGGCTACCCTGACATCAACTACCTGGACAATGTCCTGGCTGAGCTGGCAGCCCAGGGCATCACGGAGGAGAGCCTGGCACAGGAGAAGGACTGAGACCGTGGCGAGGAGGCAAGGAAAGGCTTGCCTGTGCCGGCACCCACCAGGATAAAAAAGCTGCTGGAGATACCTGCCTGGGGGCTTCTCAGGGCACACCTGGAGCCCCCTGCTCCCAGTGACAGCCATGCGGTGCCCCAGGCTGGCTGGGAATGTGGGAGAAGGTCCTTTTGGCCGTCCACTTCACTCCTGCAGGGCGGGAACATCCCCCCACACACAGCTGTGGGGCTTCAGGCTGGCTTGGCCACCCCTCTGGGTGGTGTCCTGTCCTTGCTGCCACTGTGCTGAGGGCCTGGGGGGTGCCAGGCTCCCCTCTCTCCTCGTCTGTGCCAATCCCAGCCTGACTCAACAGCCTTGCCACTCACCTGGGGCTGGGACCTGGCTTGAAGTGAGAGCTGCGGCCACAGGAGTCGCCCTTGCTCTGCCTCGTCCCTCTGACGTTTGTTTGTTTGTTCGTTCTGTCGGTACCTCCCCACTGCTCTCCTGTGTCTGTGGAGGTTGGGGGGCCCTGGGCTGCCTCAGCTCCCCCCCAGCCCTGCACCCCCTGCTCCTCTTGGCTGTGTCTGAGCTGTGCCCTGCAGGGTCCCCTTGTCTGGGCTGCCCCTGCCTCTGCATGCCAGGGAGGGGCTGGTGGGTGGTAGGAAGTGTGTGCGGGGGGGACAGTGACATTCCACCCCTGCAGTGGGTTCCTTGAACTGTTGGTATGGGGGCGTCCCCACGTTGGAATTTCTATATACCTCGTGTTCTGGGGTTTTGTCGTATATATGTACATATAGGGGGGGGTATTTGGGGAGGCAACCTGGGAGAATGTGGTGCTGCAGCCGGGCTGGGGCTGGGCACAGCGGTGCTTGGGGTTGGGACGGGGGCTGTGGGGCCCCCCAACCCCGACAGGGCTCTGCCCCACGGGCGGGCTGTCACTTGTGGGTCCCCATGGGGCCAGGTGCAGGTAGGGTGAGAAGTGTCCCCTTTCCTGCCCCCAGAGAGGCCTTGGAGGGGTCTGGAAGGGGAAGGTGGCTGGTGAGGGGTTGGCACGGGCTGGGCCAGGAGGGTAGTGTGGGTAGAAGAGCGTGGGTGATGGGGGTAGGGGAAGTGTGTTCCAAGGCTCTGAGGGTCCCTGTCACCCCCCTGGGGTGACTGGGCCTTGGAGAGCCCTGGGCTGGTGTAAAGTGTCCCTGCCCAGGGCAGGGGTTAAGAATGAGAGAGTCTGTGGGGTCCTTGCCATCCCAAAACAGGGATTCATGGGGCCTTTGGGAGCCACCTGTGCTGGGTGCTGGGGGGTCCCTGGCGCCCTGTGCTGGTGGGAGGGGGGCCCATCCTGCTGTGCATCGTTCTGTTGTCGTTGCTGTTTTTCCTCTCCGTGGCCTGGAGGGTCCGTCACCCCCGCGGCCACCCCTGGAGGGGCTGGGGGTCAATAAAGCGGATGGCAGGGGACTCTGGCGGTCCCTGCACGGCCTGGCCTCTCCGTTGTCTTCTGTCAGTCATCTGTGTGGCCAGGCGAGCCAGGGACACTGTGGGCAGGGCCAGGCACCCCGAGTCCCCCTGAGGTTCCTTTACACCGATCTGTGCCGAGCCGCCCTCAGCGTGGGTTGTTATCTTCTACCTCAAGGGAGAAACCCTCTTTCCCCAGGCACACGCCCCTGTTTGGGTGGCTCTCAGCGGTGCGATTTCTCCACGCACGCCCTGGGTTTTCCCCGGTGCAGACAGAGCCTGTCTGGAGCTATGCAAAACCCTCTGGGCGAGAATGGGGAGGGTCCCCCACCCTCCGCGGTGCCAGCCCGATGGCTCTTACTGTGAGTAAGTCTTTCCACAACGTGATTTTTTTCCTTTTTTTAATGCTCTGTTGACTACACGATGAGTTGCTGGCTGAAATAAAACTGCTCCGTGCCTCTCTGCATGCGTGTGTATATCTATCCCGATAGATATACATGGAGACAGGGGTTTGCAGCTTGCAGCATGCAGGATTTGGGAGATAACCCTCCCCGGGGCCCCTCTGCTCCCTCCTTTTCCCGTGGGTTTGGGGATTTGGGGCACTCAGGGCACCATCCCCTCGGTTCCCTCTTGCTGGTACCCCTCACCCACGCTCACCACCGTGCTGTGCTCGGGGCTGGCAGGGTCCAGGCTGTCCCCTGTGCCCAGCTTTTGGTAGTCCCTGGCCCTGTAGCGCCGGTGGCCGTACCAGGCTGTCCCCAGGACGGTGGCCAGCCCCGCGAGCACTGCCACGGTGACTCCAGCCACCTGTCCCCCTGACAGCCCCCGGCCCTGCACCATTTCGGCCACGTGCTGGACCTCCTCGGGCCGTGCCAGCCGCCACACGTGGCTCATGCCGTCCCTGACCCAGGTGCTGTCCCCATCCCGAACCAGCAGGGTGTCCACGGCCGGCAGGTTGGCGGGGGGCCGGGTGAAGGGCGGCAGGCGGGCGGGCGGCAGCGAGCCCCCGGTGAGGATCCCCGCCTTCACGCAGAACTGCACCTGGCAGCTGTCGCTGATCAGTGCCAGGTGCTGGCTGAAGCCCGGGGGACAGCCCTTGGTGAGGGGGTCCTCAGCTGTGCCCTGGTGCTGCCCAGCCAGGGGGTTCCCTGCCTGGCAGCTGAAGAAGCCCCCAAAGGGCACCGCATACACAGCCCCCTCCTCGTAGTCCTGGCTCACGCACACTCTGAGCTCGCTAAAGAGCTTCAGTGGGAAAAACCCTGAGGGACAGGACTGGGCTCCGGTGATGGGGTTGGCGCTGTGGGTGCTGAACAGTCCCCCAAAGAGGTATCCTGAGTTTGGAGCCACCGGCCCACTTGCGGCGCACCAGTAGGCACTGAACTGCACCCGGGAGAGCCAGAAGACGTCCTGGCACTTGCGGTGGCAGAAGATGCCCAGGGTGCACTTGTTGTGGCACTCCAGGTGGCTGTGACCCTCCTCCCGCTCCTGCATTCCCAGCAGCACCGGGGTGTAGTTGGCAGGGCAGGAGAAGGCCCCGGTGAGGGGGTTCCTCTGCTCCAACGCCTGGCACAGTGCGCCGGTGTCGGGACCGCCCAGGCCCACGCACTCCTGGAAGACTCCCCCGAAGGTGAAGTTGGCCATGGTGCCCTCGCAGGAGCCATCATCGGTGTTGGCGTAAAAGTTGAAGTTGGGCGAGGCGGCGTCGGTGCAGCCCGGGGCAGTGTTGAAGGTGTAGTAGCGGCGGATGGCGAGCTCCACCCGCCGGGCCAGCCTGCGCACCGTGGGCGCCGGCAGCTCCGGCAACGTGCTCGGCTTGATGAAATAGTACAGGGGCAGCCCCGAGCGGTCCAGGGCCACCAGCTGGTTTGGAATCCTCTCCTGCCACGTCTTCAGGGTGATGCCCGGGTAAAAGGGGGTCCCGCCGATGCTCTCCACCCTGGAGTTGGTGCGGTTCTCCAGGTACTGCTTGGTGAAGCTGGAGCTGACGTCCAAGGATTCCTTGGTTCCCACATTGACGATGTTGTGGAAGGCCACGCCGGCCGAGGCGGTGACACTGCTCCGTGTGGCCCAGCTGTCCTTCAGGAAAGTAGCCTTGATCTGGTCCTCCTGCACCAAGGTGGCTCCCGCATCCACGGAGGTGATGGTGTGGGTGCCGTAGTTGAGCACCAGCACCTCGGCCAGAAAATCGGCCATCCTGGTCTGGTTGTTCTCCAGGTGGCTGGCGATGGTCAGCAGCTGCTTCTTGAAGCCCGTGTCCAGGGCCGCCTCGGGGTCAATCTTGGCAGTGTAAACCAAGTTCCTGACTTGCACCCGGGTGGTGACAGCCCGGTCTCTCACCTGGTGGGTTTTGGTGCGGTGGAAGTCGTTGGAGAACTTGCCGTTGATGACGGAGAACAGGGACATCTCCAGGTTGATGGAGGCAGAGGTGATGCTCTGGTAATCCTTCCAGGACTCGATGATCTCGGAATTGATGTCCAGGTTGCTCTGCTTGCGGGGGATAGTGAAGACCTCGTCTGGGATGAGGTAAGATCCATCTTCTGTGGTCTTGCACTGCGAGTAGCCCAGGTTGATGACTCTGCCCATATCCAAATTCCTGAGGTTATCCCAGCCCCCGCCCGGCAGAACTTCCAGACTTGAGAGCTTCAGGGTCTTGCTGCACATTCCAAACCCTGAAGGGGACGAGATTTCCTGGGATTGCTCAGCCCCTGTCACCCATGCCAGCAGTGCCCAGGTGAGCAGGACCCCCCAGAGCCCCCAGCCCATGGCTCAGCCAGCGCTGGGCCCTCACCAGTCCGAGCGGTGGGACAGGAGCTGGGAAAATGAGCTGGGGGAATTGATGAAAGAGAAAGGAGAAGTGAGAGCTGAGGCATGTGAGAAATGACAGAATGGAAACCGAGACCAGAGGGTGGGGAGCAGGACGGTGTCTGTCCCTCCCTCTGCCCCACATTAGGGCCCTCTGCAGCTTCCTCTGCCCCACTCCTGTCCTTCCCCCAGGGTCTGCAGTGTCACCAGCTGGGGAAAGCATCTTCTGCTCGGGAATGCTGAGCCACACGTGCTGAGGATACTGATCCAGCCCTGCCCAGGCTGGCTTCATTTTCAGCAGCACACGGGAGGTGCTGCAAGTTTTGGGGAATAAACAGTTAAGGAAGTTTCTGTTGTGACTCTTTCCATGTAGACATATTCACTTCCCTTGGTTTTGCTCCCAGGTTCCTCTTTCCAGGACACTTCTGCCTGGGAGGAGGCTGAAGTTACAGCTGTGATGGAGGCAGAGGGACCATAGATGCCTGGACATCTATTTTTGGGCAGGATAATGCCAGGAGTAGGGGGTGAAGGGATAACAGGAACACCTTTGGGGATGTTCTTGCTGGCTGAAGTCCCTGGATTAGCTGGAAAACCCTTGTGTTGGGATTCTCATCTGCACTAGGATGTGCAGGCTGTGTGGTCACCTCATCTAAAGCCTACCCACTGTGCCATGGAAGCAGTGGAATGTTACAGTTTTTTCCCCCAATATTTTGAGGTGGTGCTCTGAATCAACCTATTGCTTCCGATGGTGAAATTCCCATCAGTCCCATGGCATCTCTCCTAGGAAGTGAGAAATGAGGGGGGAACAGGCAGGATCCCCCCCCAAAAAAGGAGCCAAAATGCCTGAAAATTCATTTATGAGTAATACAGTAGAAAATGTAACGATTCTCATATATATGAGAAATTACTATTAATTTCTTTTAAGATAAATCTGCTGTGTTATAGACAGGAATTTAGACTGTAAGGAATTCTGAATAGATCCATAGGGCTTGGAAATAAAAATACAACGTTCTGTGTATATAAATGAAACAGTAAAGGACTTGAAAAAGCTGGACAGGATGATCTGTATGAAGGACCTAGAAACAGCTCTGTGTATGCGGAGTTGTTTCTCCCTCCTCCCGCTG